AATGTTTATTCTATTCTACTGAGCCATTTACTTTATGTTTGTTTCTTATATTTTCTTATTTCATTTCGTTGTTGCATTGTCGAGAAGGAACCTGCAAGTAAGCATTTCGTCGGATGGTGTATTATATTTGTATCCAGTACATACGACTAATAAAACGTGAAACTAATTTAAACTAAAACTAAATAGAACGATACATTTATAACATGAATGTGCACCAGTTATGTTTTCTTATATTATCTTTAAAACTACTAATACTACTTTGAATGTTGTAACTATCAACTGTCCCATTAACAATCACCCATATTAACAAACATATTTCATTTCAAATGTCACATTTCTCTAGAAGGGCCCTATTGGATTAAACTACTGTTAAACTACTCTGTTCATCCTTTTTTGCTGATCTGGCATAAGGTTTTACCTACAGTTGTGGTCAAAAGTTTTGAGAATGATACAAATATTAATTTTCACAAAGTCTGCTGCCTCAGTTTTTATGATGCCAATTTGCATATACTCCAGAATGTTATGAAGAGTGATCGGCTGAATTGCAATTAATTGCAAAGTCCCTCTTTGCCATGAAAATGAACTTAATCCCCAAAAAACATTTCCACTGCATTTCAGCCCTGCCACAAAAGGACCAGCTGACATCATGTCAGTGATTCTGTCGTTAACACAGGTGAGAGTGTTGACGAGGACAAGGCTGGAGATCACTCTGTCATGCTGATTGAGTTAGAATAACAGACTGGAAGCTTTAAAAGGAGGGTGGTGCTTGAAATCATTGTTCTTCCTCTGTTAACCATGGTTACCTGCAAGGAAACATGTGCCGTCATCATTGCTTAGCACAAAAAGGGCTTCACAGGCAAGGATATTGCTGCTAGTAAGATTGCACCTAAATCAACCATTTATCGGATCATCAAGAACTTCAAGGAGAGAGGTTCAATTGTTGTGAAGAAGGCTTCAGGGCGCCCAAGAAAGTCCAGCAAGCGTCAGGACCGTCTCCTAAAGTTGATTCAGCTGCGGGATCAGGGCACCACCAGTGCAGAGCTTGCTCAGGAATGGCAGCAGGTAGGTGTGAGTGCATCTGCACGCACAGTGAGGCGAATACTTTTGGAGGATGGCCTGGTGTCAAGAAGGGCAGCGAGGAAGCCACTTCTCTCCAGGAAAAACATCAGGGACAGACTGATATTCTGCAAAAGCTACAGGGATTGGACTGCTGAGGACTGGGGTAAAGTCATTTTCTCTGATGAATCCCCTTTCCGATTGTTTGGGGCATCCGGAAAAAAGCTTGTCCGGAGAAGACCAGATGAGCGCTACCATCAGTCCTGTGTCATGCCAACAGTAAAGCATCCTGAGACCATTCATGTGTGGGGTTGCTTCTCAGCCAAGGGATTGGGCTCACTCACAATTTTGCCTAAGAACACAGCCATGAATAAAGAATGAATGGTACCAACACATCCTCTGAGAGCAACTTCTCCCAACCATCCAAGAACAGTTTGGTGACGAACAATGCCTTTTCCAGCATGATGGAGCACCTTGCCATAAGGCAAAAGTGATAACTAAGTGGCTCGGGGAACAAAACATCGTAATTTTGGGTAATGGCCAGGAAACTCCCCAGACCTTAATCCCATTGAGAACTTGTGGTCAATCCTCAAGAGGCGGTGGACAAACAAAAACCCACTAATTCTGACAAACTGCATTGATTATGCAAGAATGGGCTGCCATCAGTCAGGATGTGGCCCAGAAGTTAATTGACAGCATGCCAGGGCGGATTGCAGAGGTCTTGAAAAAGAAGGGTCAACACTGCAAATATTGACTCTTTGCATAAACGTAATGTAATTGTCAATAAAAGCCTTTGACACTTATGGAATACTTGTAATTATACTTCAGTATACCATAGTAACATCTGACAAAAATATCTAAAAACACTGAAGCCGCAAACTTTGTGAAGACCAACACTTGTGTCATTCTCAAAACTTTTGACCACGACTGTATACAACAAGAATAATGTCCTTTTTGGAAGGAAGGGTGGATGGATGGATGTTCATCCAGTAGAGGGTACTATAACTCTTTCTTTAAAATTTCCTAGCTACTATAGTTGGACATTTCTCAAATGAAATCTTAGTATATGCAAAGATAATCTATATATAGATAATATTTAGCCTCTTCCTCTCTGATATATGTCAGTACCTAACCACTGTATCTAACCATTCTGTCGTTTGTGTGTCTGATCTAAATGTGTGCCGTTTCTCTTATTTTATCAGAGTGACCTGAGATAGGAGATTGCTGAGGCAGAGCCTTGTAGAAATAAGTCTCCGGGCCAGAGCCCTCGACTATGTACCTAGTTTGAGGAGTTGGCAAGGTAACTTTGGTCAGCTCTGAGTCAGTGGCATAGGCAGAAATCTTTTGATGTCAGGGCCAGAAAAAATGTAGGTGGGCCAAAATTGTTCTATCTGTGAAACGACTGTAGGAAATTCATAACAATCTGCGCTTGGGATTCTTGACCAATCACGTTCACGTTGTCATGCTGCATCACGCGGTTGGCATGGTGGCTGTTTGCGATATCACACCCACATCAAACCACACCCACAAAACAGTTCTCACTCATGGTTTCTTTGCATTTGTAATGAGCAAGCTAAAAAGCCAGGCCAAAACAGTGTGCTCTTTAAAGTTGTCAACTGGGTGGGGCTTCCTACGGATTGGGAGCGATCAGCCAATGATCAGAGCATTATCTTTTTCTTCAAGCATTTCACTGAACTTGTGCATGGGACAAAATTTTTTGAAATAGTGTGCTATGGTTTGTAAATGGCTTTAAGCTATATCAAATCAAATCAAATCAAAATCACATTTTATTTGCCACCTTACAGTGAAATGCTTACTTACAAGCCCTTAACCAACAATGCAGTTTTTAAGAAGGAAAAAAAAAGTGTTAAGTAAAAAAAAAATGCAAATAATTAAAGGGCAGCAGTAAAATAAAATAACAGTAGGGAGGCTATATACAGGGGGGTACCGGTTAGTCGAGGTAATTGAGGTAATATGTACTCGGCCACAATAAATGAATCACACACAAGATTTGGTTCAGGACTCTAGCACTGCAGGTGGCGCTAAATCACCAATATTAGCTTTACACTTTTTTCAAACACAAAATAAGAAAATTGACTACTTTAAAATGGAGATAGCCTCAATGGCACTGCCACAGAGGTTTATATGAACTAGAGACAGCATCCAAGATGGATGGCCATTGTTTTCAATGTTATCTACTCACGTTTACATACGCCGTTTCGTGGTTGCTGCCATCTTTCTATATCCGGTTTTACTGGGATTACTATGCCTACGCACTAGCACTCAGTGCGCACTGGATAGACAGCAGTATCGCGTGAACATGCTCCTGGAACTCTGCCAAGCATGTGGACAGCTAAACAAACATTTACATTTACATTTACGTCATTTAGCAGACGCTCTTATCCAGAGCGACTTACAAATAGGTGCATTCACCTTATAGCCAGTGGGATAACCACTTTACAATTATTATTATTATTTTTTTGGGGGGGGTGGGTTGGGGTAAGGGGGGGAAGGATTACTTTATCCTATCCCAGGTATTCCTTAAAGAGGTGGGGTTTCAAATGTCTCCGGAAGGTGGTGAGTGACTCCGCTGTCCTGGCGTCGTGAGGGAGCTTGTTCCACCATTGGGGTGCCAGAGCAGCGAACAGTTTTGACTGGGCTGAGCGGGAACTATGCTTCCGCAGAGGTAGGGGAGCCAGCAGGCCAGAGGTGGATGAACGCAATGCCCTCGTTTGGGTGTAGGGACTGATCAGAGCCTGAAGGTACCGAGGTGCCGTTCCCCTCACAGCTCCGTAGGCAAGCATCATGGTCTTGTAGCAGATGCGAGCTTCAACTGGAAGCCAGTGGAGTGTGCGGAGGAGCGGGGTGACGTGAGAGAACTTGGGAAGGTTGAACACCAGACGGGCTGCGGCATTCTGGATGAGTTGTAGGGGTTTAATGGCACAGGCAGGGAGCCCAGCCAACAGCGAGTTGCAGTAATCCAGATGGGAGATGACAAGTGCCTGGAATAGGACCTGTGCCGCTTTCTGTGTAAGGTAGGGTCGTACTCTGCGAATGTTGTAGAGCATGAACCTGCAGGATCGGGTCACCGCTTTGATGTTAGTGGAGAACGAAAGGGTATTGTCCAGGGTCACGCCAAGGTTCTTTGCACTCTGGGAGGAGGACACAATGGAGTTGTCAACCATGATGGCGAGATCATGGAGCGGGCAGTCCTTCCCCGGGAGGAAGAGCAGCTCCGTCTTGCCGAGGTTCAGCTTGAGGTGGTGATCCGACATCCACACTGATATGTCTGCCAGACATGCAGAGATGCGATTCGCCACCTGGTTATCAGAAGGGGGAAAGGAGAAAATTAATTGTGTGTCGTCTGCGTAGCAATGATAGGAGAGACCATGTGAGGATATGACAGAGCCAAGTGACTTGGTGTACAGAGAGAATAGGAGATGGCCTAGAACTGAGCCCTGGGGGACACCAGTGGTGAGAGCACGTGGTGCGGAGACAGATTCTCGCCACACCATCTGGTAGGAGCGACCTGTCAAGTAAGACGCAATCCAAGAGTGAGCAGGGCCGGAGATGCCCAACTCGGAGAGGGTGGAGAGGAGGATTTGATGGTTCACAGTATCAAAGGCTGTCTCATCATTGTCAGTAATCAGGCCTAACATTTTTGGATGTGAGTGATGGAAAAAAAATAAGCCACAGCGACCAATTATTTGAAAAATGTAATGGATGTTTTGTGCACAAATGTGATGGCTAAAGTATCTTATTAGGAATATTCTAATTTTACTTCTATGTGGCCGTCTACAGGAATTTTCTTTCTGGGCTATACTTCAGTTAAACTGTGCCAAAACTGCAAATTTAGAGTGGCCATTTATTGTCCTCAGTTAAACTGAAGTACCGAAAGACGCTGCCTATGCTGTCACAGGCGCCATAATTGCACAGATACAAAGATGAGACCTCTTTCCATCTCTATGGGCTGCACCAGAGCCATATTCGGTGCGTTCCTCTGCCCATGCGAGGCGATGCAACAGCCAATGGGCTAATCCTGACGATTTACGCTGGGTTCATAGCCGATTTTTTTCCCCCAACTGTCAACAAACACTGAACAAAAATATAAACGCAACAAGTGTTGGTCCCATGTTTCATGAGCTGAAATCAAAGATCCCAGAAATGTTCCATACGCACAAAAAGCTTATTTCTCTCAAATGTTGTGCACAAATGTGTTTACATCCCTTTTAGTGAGCATTCCTCCTTTGCCAAAATAATCCATCCACTTGACAGGTGTGGCATATCAAGAAGCTGATTAAACTGCAAGATCATTACACAGGTGCACCTTGTGCTGGGGACAGAAAATGGCCACTAAAATGTGCAGTTTTGTCACACAACACAATGCTACAGATGTCTCAAGTTTTGAGTGAGCGTGCAACTGGCATGCTGACTGCAGGAATGTCCACCAGAGCTGTTGCCAGAGAATTCTCTACCATAAGCCGCCTCCAACGTAGTTTTAGAGAATTTGGCAGTACGTCCAACCGGCCTCAGAAGCGCAGACCATGTGTAACCAACCCAGGGCCTCCACATCCGGCTTCTTCAACTGCAGGTTCGTCTGAGACCAGCTGGGACAGCTGAGGAAACTGAGGAGTATTTTTGTCTGTAATAAAGCCCACTTGTGGGGGAAAAACTCATTCTGATTGGCTGGGCCTGGCTCCCAGTGGGTGGGCATGGCTCCCAAATGGGTGGGCCTATGCCCTCCCAGGCCTACCCATGGCTGCGCCCCTGCCCAGACATGTGAAATCCATAGATTAGGGCCTAAATAATTTATTTTACTTTCCTTATATGAACTGTAACTCAGTAAAATCGTTGAAATTGTTGCGTTTATATTATGCTAATAGTCACCATCTACATGGGAGGTGTGAATTGCAGGCTATTACCACATGCCATGTGCTCAGGTAGATGCCATTGGCCCAAACAAAGAAAACCCTGTTTGAAAGATCATCATGTTGGAGTGATCGGAGGAATGGCTAGTTACCACAGCCACAAAGTCATAATAATGGCTAAAACCCGCCTGTTTCTACAATTTATCTTCCGAAAATCTTATTTTAAACCTACCCCTAACCATAACCACACTGCTAACCTTATGCCTAATCCTAACCTTAATTTAATACCAAAAAGCAAAAATTATATATAGCCAATTTCAATTTTGTGGCAGCAGTAACTAGTGACACAACCCCTCTGGGCTCCACAGTGAGGACGGCTCCAGCCTTGTTTTGTGAAGTCACGTTTCCGCCTCCCGCGAGTTTACACGTCACCAGTTTCCTGTTGTTGTTTTGTCAATGGCGGACAGTCTAATTAACTCATAACTGCTGGGGAATATCAGCACTGTAACCGGGAAACGACAACCTGGAAGCCGGTTAGCTAATTATTAATAGAAGCCTAAAACCAAACTCTCCAAGCCTGAGGCATTGATAAGAGGCGACAGCAAATTAGCTTAATAGCTGGCAAAAAACGGACAGTGGGCTAGCTACTGTAACAGTAGCAGCGGCCTTGGCCGGTTTTGGAAAAGTTGCCTGATTTTATGACCATCGTCAAGAAATTACCATCATCACTAGCTATGGACATCTAGTTTGGAGCGTCACCCGGACCGGTATGTAGCCACGATTGGCATATTTTAGAAGTTGTGCAAATGTACCTCTAACCGAAGCCCCAAACTGTCGTTAGTATTCTAACTACAAAGTTACCTAACGTTAAGATACTCGCTAGCGAACATTGCGTTAGTAAAGTTTGATAGCTAGTTAGCGGTGTTAGCTTGCTGTCACTGTTTTAGCTAGTAGCAGGGGATGTTTGCTAGCTAACGTTAGCCAGTCCGTAGCCCACAGAACAATCATCCTCATAGCTACCGAATAGAGTTTTACGATTAAATATAAAAATGTCTACGATTTGTGATGTAAATCCCCATGGGCAAATCATCAGTTAGTTAGGTAACGTTAACTAGTTAGCAATCTTACCAAACTAGTTAGCTAACTACAACTAGTAAACTATTCACTGGGGTGTCAGCTTTTCTTGACTAGTTTCAAATTCTTTCCGCTCCTGCAATGAGAACGACTTGCAGGCAACCGATGTTGTGCTTCAAACTGTAATACGCGACAGTTTCTGTGAATAATTATTCACCAAATGTATCGTGGAGTTGCGTTTAATCGGCTGCTCGCTAACTAGCCAAGTTGATTTAACTTTTTTGGGAGCCACACCTCACTTCTCAGCTGTTCTGCTTTTGTAGAAAATTATTTGGCAGATTTACTGTAGTAACTGTTTATGATAATGTCTTTTAAAATGTAAAAACACTGAAACTGTAGCTTGAGCTCTAATTTTACATTTAATTTTGACAAATTGGTGCATTTCAAGCCTTTATTTTTGCCTACACTGTCTGATAATTTGCTATGTCTGTAGTGAACGTTGATCTCCAGTGGGACATCTTTTCCAGTACATGTTGGAGCAGACCTAATATTTTATTGAACACACTGATTTGTGGCTGTTATTGGTTTTGCAGCCAGACTATCAAAAGTGCTTGCTGCGAGGTAGATGGTTACATAACATTTGCAATAGTCATCCATGCCAGCCTGAACTGTTGTTTATTAAATAGAGCCTATTATTTGCAATAGTCATCATTGCCAGCCTGAACTGTTGTTTATTAAATAGAGAGCCTATTATTCCTAATTCTATCTTTTTATTATGAGTAAACTGCGATGACATGAGAGGAATGCATGGAGTGTGAAATATGAGATTCCAGAATGCCCTGTTTTTTTCGTAAGAACAAATAGCTAGGTAAATGGACCATCATTGCTTTATTTAACCACATCTCAACATTGGAGGGGAATACATTGATTCTACTGTCACCCTACTTAAAGACTGTTTTTTTTTTTCTCCCCTCCACAAATTGTATACATAATACACCCACAGACATATCTTTTTCTTGCTTATGTTCCTATCTCGTCATAAGGAAACCTTGTTAGGTATTTGCTGTAGAACCGGTTGGAATGGTAGTACAACAGCTCTTTAAATGGAAGTGCAACAGCTCTTGAGTCAGCAGTCTGTCATGAAAGATTAATTGGTTATTTATTTCTACTATACACATGTATGTATGTGTAATCACTCCTTTTTTGACCCACTGCAGATGCTGGGTAGAGGTGCTTGTCCCAGTCACTTAGATTCTTTGCCTGCCTGCAAGTAGCATTAATGCAGTGTTTGGCTTCAATGTGTTTCTGCTCAGGCGGTTTGTACTCTGTTTTTCCTGGATAGATGGCAGCATAAAAGTACTGCTGCTGACATTAGGTTCCTATTTCTCACTTACAGCCACTATGTGAACTGTATTTATTTATCAGATAATTGTCTTAAAGTTGATCAAGTATTTCTTCTAACTTCACTACTGTCTTCTACTATTCTAACTGAAGACTACTGGGCAGGACAACAGGAGAGGTCAGCTTCTTAATGTCTCTGATGCTATTACCATCCTTCTATCAGTGCAACATTCTACTGTCTGCCACACTGAAGAAATAAGGACGAGGGATACCTCTTCATGTTACCTCAATGTGTCTATGGGGCTGCAAAGGCTTTGTTTACCTTTTTGTGTTGCTGTTTTTCTTTTAATTGAAATGCCTTTCTCCCCTCAGAGCTGTCAGCTGCATGGAAAAGTCTGAATCAGACCAAAGCTGCTGTAAGTAAACCCATATTAACAATGTTGTCTAATGATTTTACAGTTTTCTATTTGTGGAGACTCACCCCTTAATGCAATGACACATGGGCTGTGGTATTTTAAGTGTCTGTCTGGGCTCTGACTTGAGTTTTTGTTCTGTATCTGAGTCAGGCGCTTTTGTTTTCCCTGCAGTTGCGGCACATTGAGAAGCGCCTGGAGGCTGCTCCTGGCTCTGGGGTTCTGCTGGATTCCGTAATGGATACAAAGAAAAGCTCCGGGGGCGCCACCAGGAAAGTGAGCCGCAGAGGTGAGGCACACAATGATATTTCTCATCCTTGTAAGCCATGGTTACTATTTACAGCACAAGGTTCTCCCTCAAACAGCAGCAGGCATCATCATTACTTTGCATTGCAAGGTTAGTTTGCAGGAATTTTAACCCTCTCTCTCCTGACTCAGATGGGCGGCGTACAGAGGACTGCTCTCAGGCAGGCGGAACCTCCAAGTCCAGAACGAGGAGTCATCGGAGCCCAGACAAGAGCTCCCGCAGCCCCCTGAGGAACACCACACAGGACAGCAACGTCCGTAGGAACAACTGTGTTGAGTTTAAGGAGCCTCTGGCCTCTTATAGGTATGCACTGTTAAAACACTCTGATTTTTCTGAAAAGTAAAATAAAGTCTAATCTGAAGGATATTTCTACCATGTTTACTAATGTATGCTGCAACTGAGTTGAGGTTGTGTGATGATACAGTGCAAAATGTTGTGTTTTTAGTCCCTGTCTGTAATCCTGTAAGACCTGCTGTCAGAAATGGTCATTAAGTGGCTACTTCTAAACAGCCCTTTTAGACAAATAAACACCACAAGTACATGTGTAGGTCTTTGCACATAAGACCACCATTCAAAGCCATGTGATCTTGACACATCCCATTCAAATAGAATAACCTGTTTTGGGTTTTGTCTAAATAACAACTAGCCTATATGCCCCCCCCCCCCCCCCCCAGGGAAGCAACCCCAACACCCCTGACCTTCTCCCAGCTGGAGGCCCACAGTCTGCAGTCGGAGGTTGCCGCCCCCCCTCCCCCGGACTCCTGTCTCAGCCAGCTGGTTTACCAGAGCGACAAGCGAGACCAGCAGACTCGTAGAGACCTGGACAGCACACACTCGTCTGCTCTGGACAGCACCGTGGTGCGTTACCTCAACGACCGTCCCGCGCTGGACGCCCTGCTGCCCCCAGGCCACACTGCTGCAGCCAGAGACCAGGAGGGGGGCCTGGAGGACAGGCCCAAAGCACACACCCTGGAGGGCCCGGCCCCACCCCCAGCAGAGACCTCTGTTTCCTCAAGCCCTGGCTCGGCCTCCCAGAGGCTGGAGAACCTGAGGCGGAGGCAGCCTGACGACAAGCTGGAGAAGCTAAAGGAGACGATCCGCAGGCAGAGAGAGCACCTGGAGGCTGCTGACAGAGATGGGTTGCTGGGGTACCTGGAGCAGCCTGTGGGCGTCGCTGGCGCTGTAGAGACCACCACCACCACCACGGCTAAAATACGCAAAGTGGCAGCCGCACCTCTGGCACCTATATACAAAGGTAATGCCCACTGGATAGAGAAAGTTGATCTCCAGTTGCACTGGATGCAAAAATCTGATTACTTAATTCCTTCAAACCAAATCTTATGTTCTTATCAGGTTTCAACAGGAGTGAGAACAAGAGCTGCACTCCTGATGGTAAAGTGTGGCGAGAGGAGGAGTTCCACAACCTGAGCAGAGACCTGTCTCGCCATCTCTCAGGTGAGCACTGAGTGGTAGATGACCAATCAAAGGACACACCCTATGCTGTTAGCTAAGCTTACATAATGACCCCTGTAGTTAACAGGCGTTATTGATAAAGTTGTAGGGAGTGACTAAAAGGACTGTGGAGTTGAACTGCCAGCTCATCACCGCTCAATAGAATCAATGGGCTGTTGACGTCATAGTGGCTGTACATTGGAAAAGGGCATCAAATGGACAGCGTAGTCCAGGGGTGCTCAAGTATTATTTGAGAAGATCTGATCACATAGATTTCATGGTGGCAAAGGTCCGAATGGATATTGTCATTTATTGGCATAATAATAAACTCCTACCTCACAACCCATGCCATCCCCTGTTCACACCTCTTGTTGGCGGAGAGAATTTTTAGCAGTTTTTTTTGCCAATTTCCTGCAATTCTACACATTTTCCCATGTATTACATGTGTTCTTATGATACCAGGGGTCGAAGCTTCTCCAAAATAACATGGTCGCTGTCGTAGAACATTTATTTTGATTGCAAATTTTGTTCATTTATCAAAATCCCATCAGGTAGCCTGATTTCAAATGTGTCATGTAAACAAGATTATTAGGGAAATCGTTATTTTTGCACAGCATGTAAACGTTTAAATCGAACTATTATATTAATTTGCTATTCACAATAATCATATTATTGTGTGCATACTCAGTGCTGGGCATGTTCCTATTGGTCAGTCACTGGGATCGTCTCGTAACACCAACCACACTAAAAGATAAAGGAAACAAAAATTCGGACTCTGCCAGAACTTTTTCGGAGCCTACGACCGCACATCGTTGTACTTAATCGTCAGACCTAAACCCTGTCACACTGAATGAGCCAAGACGTCCGACAATCATTTGCGACCTAAGACTTTCCCACGACATGGACATTTTGTCTGGGACCGGAAAATCGTGGCATTAGACTGCTAAAATCGTAGTCTGTAAAGTTTAAGTGTTTTTTTTTCGGGCTGCCTAAGTCCAAACTTTGGGAATGGAAAAATGCTTTCAGTGTTTTACTTAAATGACTAAAAACTGATATAAAGTATGTAGAAAAGATGATGGACCTGTATAATCTTTGAGAACTAACAATTCTGAGAACTGAATTCAAGAGGCTTGATTTTATGTTTGAGCAGAAGAACACAGCATTGGCCATGGCAAAATGCATAGAATTGCAGGAAATTAGCTTTAAAACTGCAAGATATTTTCAGCTCCAAGGCAGAACATGTAGAATTGCATGAAATTGGTAAAGATGGATGCCTCTTAAAATATTATTGTCCAGGGCCATTCAGATTGGCTGACCACACCCATTGCCACGCCCAACACCTAAGCCCCGTTTTGATCCAGAAAAACCCTGTAATACTAGGCTATAAATGTATTTGACGTTCCGGTTTCCAGCTCCTGTGCTTAAATGCTGGTCTGCCATTGAAACTGCCCTGGAAATTAGATGGCATTAGATACGCTCCAGTATTTTCAGGAAGACTAAGCGCTATTTTACCTATCCCAGTCAGCTGTTTTCTTTTAAGAAATAATCAACCATCCTATTTGGGACAAGGATGATGTTGAGAAAAAGAAATCTGAGTGTCCTCTATTACATTGAGGATAACTAAATGTAATAGGTGAGGTTTTTGCTGCAGCAGACTTTCCAGGCATTTTGCCACAACTGGAGCACTGCACGTTTCCCCGCCGTTTTGTATGACTGTTTGAAGAAACATTGTTGTATTTTCTTTGGCCTCCCTGGCTCTCTGCTGATTCCTGGGCTTCCACACAGGTTTTGATGCCAAAGTTCTCTGCTTCCTCCTTTACACTGACACAGTCCACAAGCTTCATGTTCAATTGCTTTGTTTTGCATTCAGATGTTTTTCAGGAAGCTACTAACTTTTTAGAAATGTGATAGTTCTGTTATTTTTCCCTCTTTGGTGTTCAAACTGTCATGTCGTATCCTTTCTCCCCGTCTTAGAGAGCACCAAGCCCAAGCAGCGACCCACAGAGAAGGCTAAGGAAAGGAAGCCATCCAAGCCTGTGAGGAAAGTCCATAAATCAGCTTCTATTCCCGACCCGGAGACCAAGCTAGGTTGGATCTCTTTTCATTTCTCCCCCTCCCTCTGTCTCTCGTGCTTACTCATCCTGGTTCTATGCATTCAATAGAAGACGTGAAAGTTCCTCCAATATTGTGTGTGTAGGTGATAATACATCACAAAGCCAAGGGGTCTTTCACAAACTGGGAATCCTCTCACATTTATTTTGGTTCATCAGTTACTGTGCGGTATGCACACTGAACCTGAGCAGGCGTATAGTGAATACATCTGGCAGGCCCGTACCACAGTAGGCCTTTCTTAACTGTGTGCTAGTCAACAGGCCTCTTATTTATTTATTTATTTAACCTTTATTTAACTAGGCAAGTCAGTTAAGAACAAATTCTTATTTACAATGACGGCCAAACCCGGACGACGCTGGGCCAATTGTGCGCCGCCCTATGGGACTCCCAATCACGGCCAGTTGTGATACAGCCTGGAATCGAACCAGGGGGTCTGTAGTGACGCCTCAAGCACTGAGATGCAGTGCCTTAGACCGCTGCGCCACTCGGGAGCTCTGTTTGTAAGTGCACCATTAAGTCCCTTATCTGCAAAGGGAATGTCCAGAATGTATCGCATGCTGATTGCAAGCAAGCCGCAGCTTAGATGCACACTGTAGCTGGAATGCAGATGCGGCGCAGTTCTGCTGGGCTGGGCATACCAGCTCGCTGACAGCTGAGAACAGCCACCCTGTACTGGGCCAATTCCTTTCTCTTTCTCGCTCTGTCGCTCTGTCTGTCTGTCTGTCTGTCTCTGTGTGTGTGTGTTCTTCCCAGTGCAGTGGAAAGTGAGATGAGTGTGGTTTAGCCTAGTCTTACTCTGTCATCCTGCTACTGGACTCTGCTCGCAGCCCGCTCAACAAAAATAGCCCACTGAAATCTATGATCAAGTTCAGCTCCGTTGGCTCCTTTACCAAACAGAAAGAGCTGCTGGCCTAACACCAGCCCCTGCTTTGTAGAGCAAATCAGTAGGCTATGTTTTTCAAAGTCAAGGAAGAATTTAGAAATGTTAATGTTCCATTTGTTCAAAATGAATCCAGCAACACTGTGCTTTGTGTTAGATCCCTTGTTCACTGCAGGGCTGACACCTTTTATGAAGCAATGTTTTATATTTTCAACTTTGGTTTAGCATAATTGAGCCAAACTCATTACATTTGCATGATGCAACTCTTAAAGAATTTCTCTCCAAAGACAATCATACTTGGGCGAGACGACATCATTATGTGTCTCTTTTGGCGACGTGAATATCACTTCAGTAAAACAGTATTGGGTGTTATTTTATAAATTTTCAAGGGGCAATAAGCTGTTGCTACATACATTTTTTGACTTATAAATGAAATGTATGTACCCGTTAAGTCTTGAAGAATATAACTTATAAATGCCTCATCAGAACCCAAAATAGAAGCTTGTTTTACTCCAATGTTTGTAACAATGTAAATCTAAACAAACACTGTATAGCATCAAAACATAGTTAAAACTCTAATTTTGATATCATGGATGGTCAGTCCTTGCATCCATAACGCTGTCTATGACTTTGAGAAGTTACATTTTTCCAGGCCCATCCCTCAGCTTTTCACCAAAACCGAGGCGGTTTGACCGCTTTGTTTCAATTACGGATTCTAGCTTTAAGTTGTAAGTCTTTGCTGTCTGATAAACAATCCTGCCATAAGTAATTAATGCAGAACTCTACACCGATCATGACCTTTCCGTGTGTTTTCGTGGTGTGTTCCCTGTTGCTGCAGTGATCAGCACCACGTCATGGCAGGAGGGTCAGAAGCTGGTGAAGATGGTACTGGGTCCCGCTCCACGTCTGCCTCAAGAGCGAAAGCCAGAGCCCACAGACAGACTGGCCAGGACAGGTGGGTTGGGAGACATATCTACTACCCTCAACCATCTCTGCTCTACTTGGCCTTCTCTCCTCTCCCCCTCCACTACATCACACAGTAAAGAGTATGGTTTCATTCACACAATAATGCGATTATTGTGGATAGTCAGATTAATATAATAGTTTAATTAAAACATTTACATGCTGTGCAAGAAGAACGGTTCCCCTAATAATCCTGTTTACATGGACACATCTGAAAAGGCTACCTGATGGCACTCTGATGAATGAAGAACATTTCCAATCAAAATAAACATTCTACCGCAGTGAACATGTTATTTTTGGGAAGCAGAGTTTGTATGTGAAAACTACTTCTAAGACTCATACATTGAGTTGTTCCTAACTCTTCACTCGTGCTAAAGAGGGAGGCTCGGTCGGCTGGCGCTAGCACATGTCATATCAAATACACAGCTGAAACGCCGATTTAAGGTGTTTACATGTCCTAATAATTCGAAAGATTACTCAGAAAACCAGGTGTTTTAATTGGTGTATGCTTACTTAGATTTTGACCTTACACCGATTTAAGATAAGCAGAGTAAGGTTTTTACATGACTATTGCATAATCTGTCAACTGCCATAATCCGTTTAATATTGAATTATTAGTGTAAGAACTAATCAGTAAGAACTATGAAAAAGCAGACAGTTGGTGGTCTGGTAGAACACACAACATTTTTGAGACCGTGTTAGTAGTGGATAGTGTTACAGTATGTAGTGGTCATGTTTGTTTATTACATGTTAAAAGGCATACAGTGCACGACAACATACAGTCGGCATGGCTAAAATAATATAAATAAATAAAGAGGTTGTCGTCTCTTCTAGGGGGGGGGGGTGAGTGAAGCATTTTGAGGCTGCTTAAAGGGTTGTACTGCCAGTCTTTCTTTTTTACTGCTATATTGATTTCTGCATTGTTGAGGTTAGAGTTTGCAAGAAAGGCATTTCACTGTACTTGTGCATGTGACATTAAAACTTGAGCTCCAGACAGAACATTTATTTAAATAATTGTAGATGTCTTATCTGGATATAGCTACTAGGGCTTTCAAACGATTGCAAACATTTATCAAGTTAATTGCATGGTTTTCTGTAGTTAACTGCGATTAATCTCAAATTTGACCCTAATTAAAAATGTTTAAATTAAAAACGCATCACATTGTGTTGTAGGAATAATATATTTTAATTATAGGGGAAGAAAACGCAAAATAAACTATATTCTAAGACAATTGAATAACAACAGATCAGCCATGTCTGAGTCCATGTAAAATATCATACTGCTATTAGATCTAGCCTAGACTACTTCTTATCCATGTTCTTCAACATGAAATAGTCACAAGCTGCTGCTACTAGAATTGGGATCATATGGTTAAATCTTTTGACCTGAGGACTACCACAAAATCAGTAGCTAAATGGAATGTCCTGTTGTGATTTAAAATCAGAGTTTAATCTAGAGATATTCGGCCATGGCATTCTAAACATTCTCGTTTGGTTAGCTAGCGTTAGCCTAACAAGCTAGCTACTTCTGTGCAAATGAAGTGTGTTCTGTTATTTAAAGAAACACCTGAGAAAGTGTATGGTTGAACTTTCTACGGTTTCTTTCAGAATTGTTGCTCAAAGCTGCGCGCATAGTTGTTTTAGCACTGCAAGAGAGGCAGCCACTCTACAGCTGCTGCTGTTAGGAGACCAACAGCACAGAGTGTGTTGCGCTTAAAAGGGTCTGTGAGGAAACAGACTTTTGGCTGACGAATTGAGATGCAATTAAATGCGTAGCAAAGATTGACGTTAATTGTAACGCTTTAACTTTGACAGCACTAATAGCTACCACTATTTTCCCCCTAACCATGCACTCAAAACACATGTTCCTTTCAATTCACAATAACATTTAGTAACCAATCAATACAATACCCCTTGTGTCGTCACAAATCTTTTCCAGGATCCCGTCCTCGGTCAAATTTTGACCCCCGTCCAGTGCTGAACCGTCGGTCCAGACCGAGCAGCTCAGAGAGACCCTGTAGCCGGGACAGGACCACCCAGCCCACCCCAGACCCTCTGTCTGCAGGCCCAGCCGAGGACAGAGCCCCCAACACAGACCTCCTGTCTGTAAACATCCAGGGCATCCTGGACGACCTGCAGCTGGAGCGCAGAGCAGAGGAGCGAGGTCCAGCGGAGCCCAGGGCCAGAACCACAGCATGGACGGCTGGTGGCTCCTCCTTACGGGTCTCCCGCACTGCCAGCCCCGCCAAGTGCAACAAGCCAGAGCCCTCAGAACCAGGGCCCAAGAAGAGGCACTATGACGCCGACTCTGTGCGCCAGTACATCACCCGGCAACAGGAGGAGCGTAAGAGACATCTAGTGGAGGAGCGAAGGGCCCAGAGAGAGGAGGCGGAGAGGAGGAGCCAACGTCTACAGGAGCTTTACAGGAAGCAGAGAGAGGGGGTAGCCAATAAGGGCCCTGCAGTACCAGTCCTGCAGGAGACCTACACCAAACTACTACTGGAACAGGCTGAGCTAGAAGAGGAACCTCTGCCTTCCCAGACACAGCCAGCTGCTACCACAGTCATCCACCAGGTAAAGGCATCTTTAGTTGTAGTGGGGATGAAGCTCTCACTGTCCCCTTACTCACATGGCAAGCTTTAGTGAAAATGGGGGTGCAGAGCATGGTATGGTGTGTCAAATGTAATTCATAGCTGCCCTTGTTATGTAAAGGGCAAATATGTGAAATGGTGACATGTAGAATAACCCTCATTATAACTCTGGACATATAATGCTATTGCTCATATTTAATGTAGTCAAGTTGCCTTTAGGAAATGACACCTCCTGTGGTGAGTGAAACTAGCTGCGAGTTATTTGTGGTGTGTTCTCCTTTAGCAGAGGCCCCTATACCAGCCATCCGGGGAGTCGGACAAGGAGAACAAGAGGCAGGAGAGACCCCAGAGTGCCTCCTCTAGCAGTGACCTGTCTCTGTCTGAGCCACATCCCCCTCCACACTCCAGGTCAGCACACACACACCTCAGTAAAACACAAACACACATTACAGCTTATATGTTACCTTTTCCACTAGCACTGGCTAGTGTAGAGGCCCAAAACAAAGCATAGAGCCATATTACTTCCTCACAGCGAAGGAACAGAGCCAGTAAGGATGTATTTGTTTCTAAACAGTCTGTTTCCATAGAAGCATTTCAGAACATGGAGTATTTTATTTATTTAACCTTTATTTTTTATCAGGGAGTCATACTGAGACCAAGGTCTCTTTTTACAGATGAGCCCTGAATTACAGAAATTACAAAAAATACACACATCAATATAAATACAAAATGCAAGCAGAAAGAAAAACATGGTCATAAAAAACAAACACATTAATCAGTAATAAGGTCCTCAATCAGCTTTCTGAATTGCCCTAGAGGCACCAGAACATCAAATTTAAGAACATTTTGAAGATTGTTCCACAAATAAGGTACAAGAAAGGTAAATCAGCTTTAAGTTAACTTCCTTATTACTTATTTACCTAGTATGCTTGGTTAACCATAAAATAGGGCACTTCCAGTGCTAGTTTAGATGCAACAGTTATAACTTCAGATGACTGTGTAAATATTTGTCTGGTCCTCGCGTAGGGTAAACATTACGGTATGTAACTGTCATCTGCATATGTTCATAAACTCTTGAGTTGCTATACAGTTCTTGGAATCTTGAGTTGATCCTAGGCCCATAATTTAGTTTGCTTATATAGTTAACACAACGGTTGCTCTCAGAAGGTCATGGTTAGACAGTACAAGCCACATATTTTAATGGCTTCCTGCATATTTAGATGTCTTAAATCCTTGTAAACCTTTGACATAGTCTCCTATGGACAGTGTTGCTTTGTACTAAAAGTTGTTATGGGTCCATATACTAAAGGACTTTGTGAATCCATAAAACAATATTTTGAGTGTTTCCAAGCCCTTTGTTTAAGTAACAGAAAATGTATATTTGAATACCAATCCTCCACTCTCTTTCTCCTGTAGGAATGAAGTGGGACTGGGAGTTCCATTGTGGCTGCAGCCAGACCGTCTGAGTCCTGCAGTCAGACCCTCCAGTGCTCTGGCTCCCCCCACAGACAAGCTTTTCTCCCAGCTCCTGGGCCTGGAAACAGGAGGGGGCTCTGGGGGGAGGGGAACCAGCCCTCCAGCCAGGCCTCAGCACTCCACTCTCACAGGAGCAGCCATCAAAACCAAGATGAACCGCATTGAGGCCCTGAAAGCCACAGCTGCATCCATGTCCACCCGCATAGAGAGTGAAGCGCGGAAACTGGCTGGGGCAGGGATCAACTATGGCTGTGCAAGGGACATGGATGTTACCGGTCTGACCCATCTTCAGCCTCAAGACGACTGCTGCTGGGCCAAGCCTGTGAGCCCATCGGTCAGAGAGAGCGCTGACGCTGCTGACGAGCTGGCCCTGAGGATCCAGAGGCTCCTGAGTGCTGGCCAGAGCTCATACGACGGAGCTCTCCCAGGGGTAGGCAACCCGCACAGCTTCAGAGAGCAGAGAGACGGGGCCACTGCTTCAGGCAGCAGGCCCCAGACAGCCCCAGGCCTCGGCTCCCATAAGCGGCCGGAGGAGCACCCTGAAGTAGCGAGGAAGACCAAGCTCCATGACTCCAGCGGTGACTCCATCAGTGAGGGCCCACTGCTGAGTGAGGGCAGCCTGTCGGAGGGCAATGGGAGCCCCCGCATGCACATAACGAGGGTCCCCAAACCAGCAGAGTGTCTCGTGGCACTGGACTTCTGTGCGGCCCAGTGGGAGGGCTTCCAGCCCATCTCCCACTTCCAGAGAGCGGCAGAGAAGTACCCAGCCCTCAGCACCCTCCCCTTCTCTCAGCCACGGGACAGCAGCCAAGGCCCATGGGAGGAACTGGCCAAGGGAAGCTCTCATAGCGTCATCAACATCTTCACTAAGAACCACCTGCACAACCATACCAAGGGTTAGCCAACACATTTACACACCCAACCCTATCCTTAGAAGTGTTTTGAATGAAGAACGAATGTTTAACCCATAGTCTGTTCCTCTGGCTTCTCCCAGCAGTTGGAGGGGAGGAGCGAGCAGACAGGAGCTCCCCTGCTGTGCGTTGTGGCCCTTCTGCAGCCAGCTCGGTGGATGGGGCGCCAGTGTATGAGGATGACTTTGTGTCGTCCCGTAGCAGCAGCCAGTCTAAGAAAGGATACAAGGGACGCAGGTAAGGAGGTTTCTACCACTGTCACATGACATGTGTTGCTATCTGAATACCTCTCTCATGCAATAGAAACATGATTTCAAAATCCTGTAAAAATGATAGGATTAACCACAAGATGGCACTAATGTCACAAGACTGACAGAGAAGACTGGCGAGGAGTTCAACTCACCAGATGTGACCTGCTGTTTTGAAGTTGTCTCAGTAGTCTGTTTGTGGTTGTTTGATGTGGGACTTAAACCACATTCTATCTCGACGTCTCATTGCAGCATCACCAGTGGGAACAGTCACTATGATGAGTTGATGAGTCGCAGGTCCCCATATGACACCCGGACTGTAGACCTGCCATCCCATCGCTCCTCAAGCTCCACTCCAGTATCTTCACCTCACTCAAAGGGCTCAGTGAAAAGGGGTGAGACTTTCCCACAAAATAAAATAACCACTTCCCCTGAAATCATGCCACCAAGTGATAATTTCTTACTAGTGTAAGTGTCTCCCATCTCTTTAGGCGCTGCTTCAGACAAGAGTGATGCCACTCTGGTGGAGGAGCAGAGCAGCCCCTGCTCTCCGGGGTCAGAGGCCCTATCTAGAGACTCAAGACGGGGAGGCTCAGCCTCTGAGAGAAGCTCCATCCACAGCCTGGTGAAGAGTGCGTACACTGACAGTACACTAGGGAGCGCCTCGGGCAACTCACACTGCAGGTAAGGCATTCCAGCCCAGACCACTTCTGAGGGGCTCAGGGGGATTCCCTGGAGCTTGAATATCCTCCTTGACCTTCAGTGATTACTGGTATTTCCTTCTTTCCTGAGCTTCTTGGTTTTCTTACAATCTCGGAGCACATTTGTGTGGGGATATTATTGGTGCTGGCATATATGGGCACAATGCTCCTTTCAATTACTTGAGTTTCTGGTCTATTCGTTTCACTGTGCAGTCTCACTTCAGGTTTGAGACACAATTTCCTTGTTAGCCAGCAGCATACAACCCTGCATCCCACTGCTGGCTTGCCTCTGAAGCTAAGCAGGGTTGGTCCCTAGGTGGGAGATCAGATGCTGCTGGAAGTTGTGTTGGATGGCCAGTAGGAGGGCCTCTGGGCAAAAAAAAAATATCCCAATGCCCCATGGCACTGATTTTGGACATTGCCCTGTGTTGGGTGCTATCTTTCGGATGGGACGTTAACCGTGTGTCCTGATTCTCTGTGGTCACTAAAGATCCCATGGCACCTATTGTAAGAGTAGTGGTGTTAACCCCAATGTCCTGGCTAAATTTCAAATCTGGCCCCACCATCATCCCCAGCCTCCAATTGGCTCATTCATCCCCCCTCCTCTCCCCTGTAACTATTCCCCAGGTCTTTGCTGTAAAGGAGAATGTGTTCTCAGTCAACTTGCCTGGTAAAATAAAATTATTAAGTGGTCCCCTGGCTTCCAACGACCACCACCCATAATATTTACACATTTCAAGTGACTGGAGAGATTATTGGAGTAAACTTGGACACCACATCAGCCACAGTGTTCTCTCTACAGAGTCTCTTTGCCAACATAAAGATACATCTCAGTCTCTGTCAGTCCTGAGCAGCGAATGAATGGGGTCTTTTCAGTTCAGGACCCAATAGAATGGTGTACCCATTATATACACTGAGTGTACACAACATTGAACACCTGCTCTTTCCATGACAGACTGACCAGGTGAATCCCAGTGAAGGCTGTGATCCCTTATTGATGTCACTTGTTAAATCCACTTCAATCAGTGTAGTTGAAGGGGAGGAGACATGTTAAAGAAGGATTTTTAAGCCTTGAGACAATTCAGATATGGATTTTGTATGTGTGCCATTCAGAGGGTGAATGGGCAAGACAAAAGATTGAAGTGCCTTTGAACAGGATATGGTAGTAGGTGCCAGGCACACCGGTTTGTGTCAAGAACTGCAACGCTTCTGGGTTTTTCATGCTCAACAGTTTCCTGCATATATCTGGAATGGGCCACCACCCAAAGGATATCCAGCCTACTTGACACAACTGTGGGAAGCATTGGAGTCAACATGGGCCAGCATCCCTGTGGAATACTTTCGACACATTGTAGGGTCCATGTCCCTACGAATTGAGGCTGTTCTGAGGGCAAAAGGGGGTGCAACTCAATATTAGGAAGGTGTTCCTAATGTTTTGTACACAATTATGTTATGGATTTAGTCATAACCGATGCCTTTTATCAAAATTCACTACATCACCAAAAGTATGTGGACACCCCTTCAAATGAGTGGATTTGGCTATTTCAGCCACACCTGTTGCTGACAGTTGTGTAAAATTGAGCACACAGCCATGCAATCTCCATAGACAAACATTGGCAGTAGAATGGCCTTACTGAAGAGCTCACTGACTTTCAACGTGGCACCGTCATAGGATGCCACCTTTCCAGCAAGTCAGTTCGTCAAATTTCTGCCCTGCCAGAGCTGCCCCTGTCAACAACGGCTCAGCTGCGAAGTGGTAGGCCACACAAGCTCACAGATTGGGACCGCTGAGTGCTGAAGTGCGTAGCGCATAAAAAAATTATGTCCTCTGTTGCAACACTCACTACCGAGTTCCAAACTGCATCTGGAAGCGACGTCTGCACCAGAACTGTTCGTCGAGAGCTTCATGAAATGGGTTTCCATGGTCGAGCAGCCGCACACAAGCCTAAGATCACCATGCGCAATGCCAAGCATCAGCTGGATTGGTGTAAAGCTCGCTGCCATTGGACTCTGGAACAGTGGAAATGCGTTCTCTGGAGTGATGAATCACGCTTCACCATCTGGCAGTCCGACGGATGAATCTGGGTTTGGCGGATGCCAGGAGAATGCTACCTGCCTCAATGCATAGAGCCAACTATAACATTTGGTGGAGGAGAGCGTGTGTCAAGAAGCAGCGCGGCTTGGCAGGGTCGTGTTTCGGAGGACGCAAGGCTCTTGACCTTCGCTTCTCCCGAGTCTGTAGGGGAGTTGCAGCGATAGGACAAGACTGTAACTACCAATTGGATATCACGAAATTGGGGAGAAAAAGGGTTAAAATAAAAATAGATTACGTTTGGTGGAGGAGGAATAATGGTCTGGGGCTGTTTTTCATGGTTTGGGCTAGGCCCCTTAGTTTCATTGAAGGGAAATCGTAACGCTACAGCATACAATAACATCCTAGACGATTCTGTGCTTCCAACTTTGTGGCAACAATTTGGGGACGGCACTTTCCTGTTTCGATATGACAATGCCCCTGTGCACAAAGTGAGGTCCATATAGAAATGGTTTGTTGAGATCGGTGTGGAAGAACTTGACTGGCCTGCACAGAGCCCTGACCTCAACCCCATCGAACACCTTTGGGATGAATTGGAATGCTGACTGCGAGCCAGGCCTAATCGCCCAACATCAGTGCCCGACATCACTAATGCTCTTGTGGCTGAATGGAAGCAAGTCCCCGCAGCAATGTTCCAACATCTAGTGGAAAGCCTTCCCATAAGAGTGGAGGCTGTTATAGCAGCAAAGGGGGGACCAACTTTTTGGAATGAGATGTTCGACGAGCAGGTGTCCACATACTTTTGGTCATGTAGTGTATTTGACGCTCAAGAAGTAAGACATATTGCTGAAAGTTAGTCTCATTTGGACTACATTTCCTGCTTCTTTTTGAAATGCTGGAGTGTGCCTGCTTGAGCTGAGGACTCAATGAACCCGTTAGTTACAGGCCGTGTGTGTTTTTATATTAGATTTATTTTACAATAAAAAAAATAGTTTGTAGACCGGCGAGCTGTTCAAAGATTTGTAGTTTGTGTAGTTTTAATGAAAAGGATGTAACCTTTCGGCTTCATGCTTCTTTTTGGCCGTCAAATACATAAAAAATGTAAGTTCATTCACCTGGAAATACGTATACAGTTTATCTTAAATGGCCGTGTTTTCATGACTGACAATGCAAATTTGAGGCTCATTCTTAGACTACAAAACAAGGACTACTGAAGTAAAATTGACGCGCGACTTACACATCGTAAGGTCTTAGCTAACTCAACACTCTAGAATGCCTATTTTGCTGTGGTTATATATCTGGGCATTGAGGCTAAGCACTAACGATTCAAATGTGTTTAGGAAGTCTAGTTCAGAGTGCCAGGGAAAATAGTATTTTGGCTGTTGCTCTGGTTGTTGCTGAAGGGTCTACAGCAGCCTGCCTCATGGCAGCCTAACACTGACTCTTTTGTTGGGCAGCGAGTTTGTCAAATCTCCCCTCTGCAAAATGGGCATGTTGCCAGGCAGTTTTTTTCTCCTGGGTCATTTGAGCCTCCCCAATGGTGTTTTTTGAAGCCCAGGTGGCAGATTCCCTCCATACCTTTCTGTCTGCGTGATGTGATAGCGATTACATTCAGGATCAAGTCCTTAATGCAGCAGTTGTTCTCTAGTTAGGTAAAGCACTGTGTACAATGGCAGTTGGAGCAGGAGAGATGGAGCACTGTCTACTAATTGTAGATTAGACATCTTTGCCCATTCGCTTGGCTCAAAGCAGCACAATATGTTCATTGAAACAGTTTCTTCTTCACATACTGTAGGCCTTCGGATGGCTTTCCTGGGGCCCCCTTTTCTTGATTCTGTTAGTCACTGGTTCTCCATTTCAGCTTGTTAATTTAGTGTTCTGGCAGTATAGCACACATACCTGAACTGAATCAAAGTAGGAAAGGTTCCGTGTCTCAATGTTTAACATACTGAATGGTCCGAGCCCATTCAATCCAGCCCGTGGTGGGTTTGAGTGTAAAAAAATGAATATGTACAGTGCCTTCTGAAAATATTGAGTCCCCCTTCCCTTTTTCGACATTTTGTTACGTTACAGCCTTATTCTAAAATGGATTAAATAAAAAATGTACCCGTCAATCTACACACAATACCCCATAATGACAAAGCGGAAACAGGTTTTTATAAACTTTTGTACACAAAACTGAAATACCTTATTTACAGTGAGGGGGAAAAAAGTATTTGATCCCCTGCTGATTTTGTATGTTTGCCCACTGACAAAGAAATGATCAGTCTATAATTTTAATGGTAGGTTTATTTGAACAGTGAGAGACAGAATAACAACAAAAAAATCCAGAAAAACGCATGTCAAAAATTTTAGAAATTGATTTGCATTTTAATGAGGGAAATAAGTATTTGACCCTCTCAATCAGAAAGATTTCTGGCTCCCAGGTGTCTTTTATACAGGTAACGAGCTGAGATTAGGAGCACACTCTTAAAGGGAGTGCTCCTAATCTCAGCTTGTTACCTGTATAAAAGACCTGTCCACAGAAGCAATCAATCAATCAGATTCCAAACTCTCCACCTTGGCCAAGACCAAAGAGCTCTCCAAGGATGTCAGGGACAAGATTGTAGACCTACACAAGGCTGGAATGGGCTACAAGACCATCGCCAAGCAGCTTGGTGAGAAGGTGACAACAGTTGGTGCGATTATTCGCAAATGGAAGAAACACAAAATAACTGTCAATCTCCCTCGGCCTGGGGCTCCATGCCAGATCTCACCTCGTGGAGTTGAAATGATCATGTGAACGGTGAGGAATCATCCCAGAACTACACGGGAGGATCTTGTCAATGATCTCAATGCAGCTGGGACCATAGTCACCAAGAAAACAATTGGTAACACACTACGCCGTGAAGGACTGAAATCCTGCAGCGCCCGCAAGGTCCCCCTGCTCAAGAAAGCACATATACATGCCCGTCTGAAGTTGGCCAATGAACATCTGAATGATTCAGAGGAGAACTAGGTGAAAGTGTTGTGGTCAGATGAGACCAAAATCGAGCTCTTTGGCATCAACTCAACTCGCCGTGTTTGGAGGAGGAGAAATGCTGCCTATGACCCCAAGAACACCATCCCCACCGTCAAACATGGAGGTGGAAACATTATGCTTTGGGGGTGTTTTTCTGCTAAGGGGACATGACAACTTCACTGCATCAAAGGGATGATGGACGGGCCATGTACTGTCAAATCTTGGGTGAGAACCTCCTTCCCTCAGCCAGGGCATTGAAAATGGGTCGTGGATGGGTATTCCAGCATGACAATGACCCAAAACACACGGCCAAGGCAACAAAAGAGTGGCTCAAGAAGAAGCACATTAAGGTCCTGGAGTGGCCTAGCCAGTCTCCAGACCTTAATCCCATAGAAAATCTGTGGAGGGAGCTGAAGGTTCGAGTTGCCAAACGTCAGCCTCGAAACCTTAATGACTTGGAGAAGATCTGCAAAGAGGAGTGGGACAAAATCCCTCCTGAGATGTGTGCAAACCTGGTGGCCAACTACAATAAATGTCTGACCTCTGTGATTGCCAACAAGGGTTTTGCCACCAAGTACTAAGTCAAGTTTTGCAGAGGGGTCAAATACTAATTTCCCTCATTAAAATGCAAATCAATTTATAACATTTTTGACATGCGTTTTTCTGGATTTTGTTGTTATTCTGTCTCTCACTGTTCAAATAAACCTACCATTAAAATTATAGACTGATCATTTCTTTGTCAGTGGGCAAACATACAAAATCAGCAGGGGATCAAATACATTTTTCCCTCACTGTACATAAGTACTCAGACCCTTTGCTATGAGACTCGAAATTGAGCTCAGGTGCATCCTGTTCCCATTGATCATCCTTGAGATGTTTCTACAACTTGATTGGAGTCCACCTGTGGTAAATTCAATTGATTGGACATGATTTGGAAAGGCACACACCTGTCTATATAAGGTTCCCACAGTTGACAGTGCATGTCAGAGCAAAAACCAAGCCATGAGGTCGAAGGAATTGTCCGTAGAGCTCCGAGACAGGATTGTGTCGATGCACAGATCTGGAGAAGGGTGCCAAAACAATTCTGCAGCATTGAAGGCCCCCAAGAACACAGTGGCCTCCATCCTTCTTAAATGGAAGAAGTTTAGAACCACCAAGACTCTTCCTAGAGATGGCCGCCCGGCCAAACTGAGCAATCGGGGGAGAAGGGCCTTGGTCAGGGAGGTGATCAAGAACCTGATGGTCACTCTGACAGAGCTCCAGAGTTCCTCTGTGGAGATGGGAGAACCTTCCAGAAGGACAACCATCTCTGCAGCACTCCACCAATCAGGCCTTTATGGTAGAGTGGCCAGATGGAAGCCACTCCTCAGTAAAAGGCACATGACAGCCCCCTTGGAGTTTGCCAAAAGGCACCTAAAGGACTCTCAGACCATGAGAAACAAGATTATCTGGTCTGATGAAACCAAGATTGAACTCTTTGGCCTGAATGCAAAGTGTCACGTCTGGAGGAAACCTGGCACCATCCTGCTGTGGGGATGTTTTTCAGCGGCAGGGACTGGGAGTCAGGATCGAGGGAAAGATGAACGGAGCTAAGTACAGAGAGATCCTTGATGGAAACCTGCTCCAGAGCGCTCAGGACCTCAGACTGGGGCGAAGGTTCACCTTCCAACAGGATAACGACCCTAAGCACACAGCCAAGACAACGCAGGAGTGGCTTCGGGACAAGTCTCTGAATGTCCTTGAGTGGCCCATCCAGAGCCCAGACTTGAACCCGATATAACATCTCTGGAGAGACCTGAAAATAGCTGTGCAGCGACGCTCCCCATCCAGCCTGACAGAGCTTGAGAGGAATGGGAGAAACTCCCCAATTACAGGTTTGCCAAGCTTGTAGCGTCATACCCAAGAAGACGCGAGGCTGTAATCGCTGCCAAAGGTGCTTCAGCAAAGTGCTGAGTAAATGGACTGAATACTTATATCACAAATCACATTTCCATATTCTTTTTTTATATTTTTTTATATACATTTGCAAAAATGTCAAACGGTTTTTGCTTTGTCATTATGGGGTATTGCGTGTAGATTGATGGGGGGGTGGGGGGGGGACAGGGACAATTTCATCCCATTTTAGAATAAGGCTGTAAAGTAACAAAGTGGGAAAAGCCAAGGGGTCTGAATACTTTCCGAATGCCTCCCAAAGATTGCTGCTGGGTCTGGGCCATGTTCTCCTGCAGCTCCACGTGAGCCTGCAACGACAGTTCTGTTAGTGAATCTCACTACAGTCTACACACCTAGTTAAATAGCTCCTTTCTCACACTACATGCAGTGAAGTTAGATTGAGTTCTATACTGAGTATACAAAACATTAAGAACACCTGCACTTTCCATGACATAGACTATCCAAGTGAAAGCTATGATCCCTTGTTGATGTCACTTGTTAAATCCACTTCAATAAGTGGGGAAAACGATCTCAATTGTCATTGAAATGACCAAAACCGAATCTAAACTGGGTAGAAAGGATAATGAACCTATATTTTATAGTCTTTTCACTCTGTCCAGATTGTGTACAGTCTTCGAATGCTAGACAGTCAGGGAGCATAGGAAATTCCAAAAGCGATGGATATGGCAATTTTTTTGCACATTTTGACGGCAAGGAAATAATATAAGCAATTTTAAGGTGCGGACCTCGGTTAAGACTGAATGCGACCCGCGGGGCAAAATGAATTTGACACCCTTGGTTTAAAGCATCATCCCCCCCCCCCCCCCCCCCCCACACACTTTTTCAAACGATAATCCAGCCTTCTTTAAATTGACAGTTACAAAAGGGAGTTTGTACATTTTCAGAATGCATGCATATGAATCAATTGTGTTTCTTTTTCCTTCTCTTGGTTCCAGTTTGGGCTTGGACAGTAAGAAGTCCCCCAGAAGCCCTAGCCTGTCTCCAGCTGGCTCTCCGACAGGCTCTGGTTCTCCTCATGTGTCTCCAGGCAGCGCCTCCCTAGCCGGGGCAGACATCCTTGGTCTAGGGTCCGGCTGCCCTCACTCCTCAGCCCGCCCCAGCTCCTCCTCATCCCTGTCCTCTGCAGCCAGGGGCAAATCCACATCTCCAGCCGACACACACGGTGGCAGAGCACAGCCCAAGGCAGCAGGTATACCACCTAGAAACACCCGCTCAGCAGTGTTGATACATACTGTATTGCCTGTCTACAACTCCAGTCTTAACTCTCCCTCTCTTCGTTTCTATCCGTCTCTGTTGTCCAGGTGAGCTCCACTACACCCCAGGGGTGTTGCAGCAGCGTATGTCTGCAGAGCTCCACTACCTGGAGTCTATAGAGGAGTCCGTGCGTCAGCTGGGTGACGTGGAGCGGTTAAGGGGCGTGTCTCTGGCTCAGCAGGAAAGCGTCTCACTTGCCCAGATACTCAAGGTGAGGGAGGCCAACCCACCAATCAGAGCACCTGAAGAGTGCTCACTTATGAGTTTGCAATGCTTAGTATAGGCACTACTCTACTCTTGAAACATTAGCTAGTGGCATGTAGTTATGTTCTGGTGGTTTTCATTCACCTTTTTTCATAGGTCCTGACCTTTTGACCTCTAACCTTTCAGGCACAGCAGCAGCGGCACGAGCGTGACCTTCATGAGTTGAAGGTGAAGGCAGAGCAGGAGGCGCTGGAGACCCGACGGCAGCTGGAGGAGACAAGGCAGAAAGCAGCCAGGGTACTGTACACACTACACTGGCATTTAGCATGGGCAACTCAGCAGAATCCACATACTTCTCACCTAGAGTTAGAACCATGCACCAACTTGGTAGATTGTTGATCCTCTTGAGGGTGGCTTTATATTTGCCAACACCTTGATAATTTATAGAACTCAATCTAACTTCACTGCATGTAGTGTGAGAAAGGAGCTATTTAACTAGACGTGTGTAGTGTGATTCACTAACAGAACTGTGTGTGTGTCGTTGCAGGCTCACGTGGAGCTGCAAGAGAACATGGCCCAGACCCAGCAGCAATCTCTGGGAGGCATGCAGGAGGCCACCACTAAGATGATCAGCCAACAGGCTGTGTCTGTACGCTATACGGCCGAAGCTGCCCGCCAGATCAAAGAGGTTGGAACACTCTAGCTCTCCCTCTCCACTCTTGTCCCTACAGCCAGTCACTGGGCTTGGTTTGTTTCCTCACTGTTGCATGTATTTGCAAATGTCAGACTTTTTCTTCTAGACATAAAGCTCTTCTCGACACAGTTTGTCTTTCAGTTGATATATTGCTGACTTAGTTGCTCTCTCCTCAGATGGCGGAGCTGGCCCGTTCTCAGATCGCTGGAGGCATCGGTGTTCCTGCTGCTTCTCCCATCACCAACCTGTTTGACCAGCAGAGGCAGCATCACCAGAGCTTCATGGGTAAGGTGTCTGCTGCCAAGAACAGGACGGAGGAGCCCCTCTCCTCCCTGGACAGCCGCTCTGACTCCAGCCCCTCCAGGAGACCCACCCTCAGGTACTGGCTTTCACACACTGGTGCTCCTCACAGACAGACACCGGGGGATGTTTCTCCTTGTCAGCATAATTGGCTTGGTCAGGAAAAACTTTATAGGCATGGCTAAATAAGCAATCGGTTTTCTCTCTCCCCTGTCCACTCTGCATTGCACCCCCCAGTGGTGGAGAAAGCACCCACCTGAGTCCCTCCATGGCCTCCCCTGAGAAGAAAGAGAGGAGGAAGTTGGAGATGGGTAACAGCTCAGTGGAGGAGGAGGCCTATACAGCAGCTGAAGACTCCATCCCCAGTGACAGTGTTCAGTCCCTACTGGATGAGAAAGGTGAGGCCAGGGATCATAGCACTCATTGTGAGATTGGGAGGGAGCCATTATCACAAATAGGCAGTGCATAATAATCGTTTATGATGCATAAATAGCCTGAAGTCTCCAATCTGTCCCCATACAGACAGCGCATCAGTGGCTACAGAGTACTCTCTGAAGTTTGATGAGTCCATGACGGAGGATGAAATTGAGGAGCGTTCATTCCGCTCGCTGCTGCCCTCCGAGTCTCACCGGCGGGGAGCGGTGGAGAAGAAGAGAGGTCCCCACGAGGAGTCCGATGACGAGCCCAGTCAGGAGAACCCCACAGCACAGGACAGCTCCAAGGTTAGTCTGACACCTCATCTCAATAGCTGGAATGCTGGCAAAGTAGCAAGACTACTCAAATGCATAATGATTGGCTGAAATCTTAGCACTTATCCAAAAGCTTAAATGTACTAGTTTACTTTTGGAGGTTTCTCCTTAAAGTAACCAGCGCATAATTCTTATCCACATTTAGCCCGATTTGACCGCTGTAATGGTGAAATTATAGCTTCTCTCTAATGTTTGTAGCAGCGTCTGTCTTCGCTCTTAATGTCAAGCCACAGTGGTAGCTCCCTGATTCTCTGAAGGGTTCAGTGTTCAGTCCCTGAGATGAAGTATGCGGGATTGTGCCTGGCCATACTGACGCCTGGAAAGAGCTGCTTGCCTTGTAGGGCTCCACTGGCCAGGGCATCAGAGAGACTGGGAAAGCCTGCTCAACTCATTACTACCCTGGGCACAATAAACGTTCTGTGTGCCCCAGCCCCTCTTAACTGCATCTTGGAGATTCCCTGCCTGGTTGTATCATACTCGGTCCTCTCAAACACAACAGGTTGAGGGGAGGCTGTGGTGCAGCTAAGAGAGGGTGGAGAACCAGAAGCCAGGGTCCTCACCTGGCTGCCACATGAAGAGATGATCTTGTACATACCTTGGCCTTCATTGGGCCCAGGTGTTTTGTCCAGATTGACAGCGTTCTGAATAGACTTTTGTGTTTACAACACTGATTCTATGTAGCAACCACCTCAAGGCCAGCAGCCTCTCCCACGCCTCAGTGTTTTTGCCAGCTGGAAGGAACATGTAACCAGTAGCCAGGGTGATCTTCCGTCGACCACTGTTTGCTCTCTGTGTATGCTTGGTTTCCTGACTGATAAGGCTTTGTGAAATGTGTTAGTGACTCATTGTCCCTGCTCCACTCCCGGCAGCAGGACGGCAGCATGCCCTTCTCCAGCGGGCAGGACAGCTTCTCCAGGTTCACCATGGACATGGTGCGCCAGTACATGAAGGAGGAGGAGGTGCGCGCCCACCACCAGAGCTCCCTGCTGCGCCTGCGACAGAAGGCCCTTAAGGAGAAGACTAAGGCCGAGCTCGCCTGGCTGGAGCACCAGAAAAGGCACTGGTTTACTTTTATTAGGATCCATGTTTTCTGAATTAATATTGTCTCATTCCCTGCTAAAGCCAACGTTTTTTGTTTTCCATCATACGAAAACATGCGCTAGAAATTCAACAGAACAGATTGACCAAAACTGAGTCGTTTTGGTCAAGGTGTTCTGTTGAATTTCTATCGCATGAGGCACTTCTGTCCTCATTTTGCATTCATGTTCTCACTGTTTCTCCTTTCTGACCTCATAGGCGCCTCAGAGACAAGGGTGAGGATGACAAGATGCCACCCATCAGAAAGAAGCAGAGAGGCCTACTGATGAAACTTCAACAGGAACAGGTAACTAACTAACAAACTCTCTGCCCATCTCACCTGCTCCCATTACTGCCCATCTGTAATGCTGAGTGACCATGACCCTTGACCCTGTGTGTGTGGTGTCCAGGCGGAGATCAAGCGTCTGCAGGAGGCCAACAGGGCAGCCAGGAAGGAGAGGCAGCTGCTGCTCAAACAGCAGGAGGAGATAGAGAGGATGAGACACACCACCCTCAAGCTGAAGGAGCGCCTCAAGTGTGCCGGCACCGGTGACACTCCACCGGTCAGTACTACCACCTTCTTACATCATATTCTTATCTGAGAATATCTTATTTATGGAGATATTGAGCTAAACTTCAGAAAGAGATGCTTTGTGTTATGCATACAGTGAGGGGGGGGAAAAGTATTTGATCCCCTGCTGATTTTGTACGTTTGCCCACTGACAAAGACATGATCAGTCTATAATTTTAATGGTAGGTTTATTTGAACAGTAAGAGACAGAATAACAACAACAAAATCCAGAAAAACGCATGTCAAAAATGTTATAAATTGATTTGCATTTTAATGAGGGAAATAAGTATTTGACCCCTCTGCAAAACATGACTTAGTACTTGGTGGCAAAACCCTTGTTGGCAATCACAGAGGTCAGACGTTTCTTGTAGTTGGCCACCAGGTTTGCACACATCTCAGGAGGGATTTTGTCCCACTCCTCTTTGCAGATCTTCTCCAAGTCATTAAGGTTTCGAGGCTGACGTTTGGCAACTCGAACCTTCAGCTCCCTCCACAGATTTTCTATGGGATTAAGGTCTGGAGACTGGCTAGGCCACTCCAGGACCTTAATGTGCTTCTTCTTGAGCCACTCTTTTGTTGCCTTGGCTGTGTGTTTTGGGTCATTGTCATGCTGGAATACCCATCCACGACCCATTTTCAATGCCCTGGCTGAGGGAAGGAGGTTCTCACCCAATATTTGATGGTACCTGGCCCCGTCCATCGTCCCTTTGATGCGGTGAAGTTGTCCTGTCCCCTTAGCAGAAAAACACCCCCAAAGCATAATGTTTCCACATCCATGTTTGATGGTGGGGATGGTGTTCTTGGGGTCATAGGCAGCATTCCTCCTCTTCCAAACACGCCGAGTTGAGTTGATGCCAAAGAGCTCAATTTTGGTCTCATCTGACCACAACACTTTCACCTAGTTCTCCTCTGAATCATTCAGATGTTCATTGGTATACTTCAGACGGCCCTGTATATGTGCTTTCTTGAGCAGGGGGACCTTGCGGGCACTGCAGGATTTCAATCCTTCACGGCGTAGTGTGTTACCAATTGTTTTCTTGGTGACTATGGTCCCAGCTGTCTTGAGATCATTGACAAGATCCTCCCGTGTAGTTCTGGGCTGATTCCTCACCGTTCTCATGATTATTGCTCCACGAGGTGAGATCTTGCATGGAGCCCCAGGCCAAGGGAGATTGACAGTTCTTTTGTGTTTCTTCCATTTGTGAATAATCGCACCAACTGTTGTCACCTTCTCACCAAGCTGCTTGGCGATGGTCTTGTAGCCCATTTCAGCCTTGTGTAGGTCTACAATCTTGTCCCTGACATCCTTGGAGAGCTCTTTGGTCTTGGCCATGGTGGAGAGTTTGGAATCTGATTGAGTGTGCTCCTAATCTCAGCTCGTTACCTGTAGAAAAGACACCTGGGAGCCAGAAATCTTTCTGATTGAGAGGGGGTCAAATACTTATTTCCCTCATTAAAATGCAAATCAATTTACAACATGTTTGACATGTGTTTTTCTGGATTTTGTTGTTGTTAATCTGTCTCTCACTGTTCAAATAAACCTACCATTCAAATTATAGACTGATCATTTCTTTGTCAGTGGGCAAACGTACAAAATCAGCAGGAGATCAAATACTTTTTTCCCTCAATGAAACCATGCAGTATTATTTTAGACATTCGGTAAGATTTGAAATGGTCTTTCTCTCTTCATTTCTGGTGTGTGTGTAACCATCTATGTCCTACAGGAGACTCCTGTGTCGGAGCGTGTCGAGGGGGCGATGACAGACGGGGACGTGCGCAGCGCCTCTCCCCTCTCAGTGTCTGGCAGTGAGACCAGCAGCATCATGCAGAAGCTCAAGAAGATGCGCTCTCACATGGATGAGAAGTAATTTAAACTTCAATTAACCTATTAAAACTAAACTGTCCAAACTCCTATTGACAACTAAAATGTTTTATTGGAAGTCTTCATTATGGGCTATTTTATATAACAGAATTCGCTAAGATGGACACTTCAATTCTGGTCACTGAATATTAATTTATACCAACTTTTAAACAGCTGAAATGACCAGATCTTTGATAGCTTTATCTTTATGGGTGTGATTGTTAACTTGTCTTACACTGACGAGCTAACAAAACCAAATTGGGCATATCAATCATTTAGGCTGTTTGCTTTGTTATTCATAAGGAATTATGTACCAGCTTCTGTTATCGTAAATAATTTGATACAAGTTGCTTTTGTCTTGTGAAAGTGAGGGATTGGCTTGACTAGAAACCTTAATTATTCTGTGGTGTGGATATGAATATAAGCATGCTCCATGTCCTCCCTATAGATTAGGGATCATCAACTAGATTCAGCCGTGGGCAGATTTGTTTTTGTTTTCTCAGAAAACTTGGGGGGCCAAATAAAACTTTGAGTGCCAGTTGGGGAACCCTGCTATAGATATGTTAGTTATTCAGACTGCATCCTCTCCAACCTCTGTACTCATTCCAATATTTACAATATGAACCAGAGCAAATATGTAGTGTAAATTGTCTGTCTGGTGTCTCATACAAGCAGCCAGGGCAGGTTAGTCTTTTAACAATGTGGTAATGTGACTGGAGGGGACTCACATGATGGTTAAATATCGAGACCTGCACAGACTGACCTCATTCTTATACATTCTGCAGTACAGGTCCTAACAAACGTTCAGTTGTTGTGGTGTTTAAGGATTTGTAACTCTCTTTCAATAGCAACGTCATCAGTACTAATTGTAGGCCTAGAGCAAATTATTCCTTGAATTGAATAATCTACCAAAGAACATAAAACTGAAGGTACCCTATATCACAGCTAAAAGTGGGAAGTCGCTGTCAATTTGAGCCTAGACGTTATTTTCTATAGGAAACTAACAAGCTGCTTGTAGCCATGCCTCTGTCTGCTTGCTTGCATTGGTCTTCTAACAACCTGCCATTTCATTATGTAAACACAGTCTCTTTTAATCATGCCCTAGTGTTGTTGTTGTGGATCATAGTGCAGGTTAATGTGTGATTTAGCCAGTTTTATTCTAATGAAGCCTAAATCAGGTTTTAGTCACCAGTGCTTAAAAACATTAACAAAATTATCACCCATCACTACCTTTGCAACTGTTTGCTAAAATAATCTAATCTCCCCAAATTCCTCCATCCAGTGCATTTAATTAAGGAGAAGCATTATGTCCACTGGGGTGCAAAATGAGACAAATGCCTCTCTCGTAACCCTTTAGGATTATCATTTTTCAGTCACATCTAGCTCCCCTCTTGGCACCGCCGCATGCATTCACACATGGCTACACATTCCCACACACCCGCTCTTTATTGTAGTCCAGCTCCAAAGACAAACATGCACATCTTGCCATGTCCTGGCCAACTCCTGATGAAAAGAACTGGGTTTTAATACCCCTTTAAGCACTGCCACCAACACAAAGCCCTGGCAGAGTAACTACATTACTTCTCTTTGAATGAAACATGAAACATTCAGTGCAATAAACCACATGTTTACTCACTGCTCTCTTCTCTCGCTCCCTGTCTCTGTGGTTGTGTTCTATTTTATCCTCCCGTTCTCTCTCTATTTTGCTGTTTTCTCATTCTCCAACTCATATTTTGTGGGGGTTTTCTGTGCGTTTCGTGTCCTTGTGTTTTTTGGTTGTGGACACTGCTCTCCTGTTCACTGCTTCTTCTCTCTGTTTACGGCCCACCGCTGGGCCTCTCTGTTTCCCCAAACTCTACATCCAGCTGGTCAGGTACAGTGCTGCTCTCGCCTCACTGCTGCCTCTCCTTCTCTGCCCTCTGTCCCAAGGAGCATGCTTGTGTTCAGCCCCCGCCTGTGGGGGGGGGCAATTTCATTTTTCCAGGAAGTGTGGAAGTGAAAGCTTGAAAAACACCCAATGCCATTCTGTTCATACAGTGGGGGGAAAAAAGTATTTAGTCAGCCACCAATTGTGCAAGTTCTCCCACTTAAAAAGATGAGAGAGGCCTGTAATTTTCATCATAGGTACACGTCAACTATGACAGACAAATTGAGGAAATAAAATCCAGAAAATCACATTGTAGGATTTTTAATGAATTTATTTGCAAATTATGGTGGAAAATAAGTATTTGGTCACCTACAAACAAGCAAGATTTCTGGCTCTCACAGACCTGTAACTTCTTCTTTAAGAGGCTCCTCTGTCCTCCACTCGTTACCTGTATTAATGGCACCTGTTTGAACTTGTTATCAGTATAAAATAAACCTGTCCACAACCTCAAAACAGTCACACTCCAAACTCCACTATGGCCAAGACCAAAGAGCTGTCAAAGGACACCAGAAACAAAATTGTAGACCTGCACCAGGCTGGGAAGACTGAATCTGCAATAGGTAAGCAGCTTGGTTTGAAGAAATCAACTGTGGGAGCAATTATTAGGAAATGGAAGACATACAAGACCACTGATAATCTCCCTCGATCTGGGGCTCCACGCAAGATCTCACCCCGTGGGGTCAAAATTATCACAAGAACAGTGAGCAAAAATCCCAGAACCACACGGGGGGACTGTGTGTTGACCTGCAGAGAGCTGGGACCAAAGTAACAAAGCCTACCATCAGTAACACACTACGCCGCCAGGGACTCAAATCCTCCAGTGCCAGACGTGTCCCCCTGCTTAAGCCAATACATGTCCAGGCCCGTCTGAAGTTTGCTAGAGTGCATTTGGATGATCCAGAAGAGGATTGGGAGAATGTCATATGGTCAGATGAAACCAAAATAGAACTTTTTGGTAAAAACTCAACTCGTCGTGTTTGGAGGACAAAGAATGCTGAGTTGCATCCAAAGAACACCATACCTACTGTGAAGCATGGGGGTGGAAACATCATGCTTTGGGGCTGTTTTTCTGCAAAGGGACCAGGACGACTGATCCGTGTAAAGGAAAGAATGAATGGGGCCATGTATCGTGAGATTTTGAGTGAAAACCTCCTTCCATCAGCAAGGGCATTGAAGATGAAACGTGGCTGGGTCTTTCAGCATGACAATGATCCCAAACACACCGCCCGGGCAACGAAGGAGTGGCTTCGTAAGAAGCATTTCAAGGTCCTGGAGTGGCCTAGCCAGTCTCCAGATCTCAACCCCATAGAAAATCTTTGGAGGGAGTTGAAAGTCCGTGTTGCCCAGCGACAGCCCCAAAACATCACTGCTCTAGAGGAGATCTGCATGGAGGAATGGGCCAAAATACCAGCAACAGTGTGTGAAAACCTTGTGAAGACTTACAGAAAACGTTTGACCTGTGTCATTGCCAACAAAGGGTATATAACAAAGTATTGAGAAACTTTTGTTATTGACCAAATACTTATTTTCCACCATAATTTGCAAATAAATTCATTAAAAATCCTACAATGTGATTTTCTGGAATTTTATTTTCTCATTTTGTCTGTCATAGTTGACGTGTACCTATGATGAAAATTACAGGCCTCTCTCATATTTTTAAGTGGGAGAACTTGCACAATTGGTGGCTGACTAAATACTTTTTTTCTCCACTGTATGAGCTGACCTATTGGCAACACAAACCAAAGTCATCAGGCATTGCATGTACGATCACAACCGTATGCATGAAGGGTCACAGAAATTCAAAAAGAAGTGAAAAACGAAAGGCATTTTTGTCAGTAATGATATGACATCACTTTGATCTTCAAAGGTCATATTCATTTTAATACAGTTGGCCTGATTTGAACGAGACTCTCAGAGAACAGAGAGAGCTCTCCAATCTCTGTGGTGTTGCTTTGAGGTGCTCATTTAACTCTCATTCAGAGTGAATGAATCATGATCTCATATTCATGCCACTCACTTCTTTGTTGGAGCAAAGTCCATAAGAGTAAATGATAAGATGTTAGGCTCCATCCATGAAAAAGAGGCAGTGCCTTTGGCCGGTGCTTTAGCAGTGATAGAGGGTTTTAATCTGTTTAATGAACCCAGTAAATCTTCACCGATGCTCCTGATTAGGTAACTGTTGCTTGTGATGGGCTAATGAGTATATATTGCAAGTGGGCTTAATAGAATTGGGAGCACAGTCTAACCCAAAACCGTACTAGTGAGATAGGGAGACAACCAAACACAGTACTGTCTGGCACTTCTACTAATTATAGTCAACATGCAAAATAGCTGATTAACTTGCTGTGTATAATGAACCAGTTCTTTTCAATGTACATTATAAATCAAAGCAATGGAGAAACAATTTTGAAAGTCTTCTTTTCTCCGCAGTATACATGGGAAATGTGTAGAATTCATGTCAAAGTTACACCCATAGACACATTCAGGCCTATATTCTGTAATGCATTTTTTAACCCTTGGTGGTCTTTGACTGAGATGTTTTGAGGGGTGTCTTCCTACAGTAATGTTAAGCCCTGGGGTCAAACCAGCTGCATGAACCTGACCTGGTGATCAGGCCGCCACTACACTTTGTGCCTGTTGTTTTATCTATTGTGATCAAATGTCTGTAATAATAATAATAATAATATAATATGCCATTTAGCAGACGCTTTTATCCAAAGCGACTTACATCATGCGTGCATACATTTTTTTTTGTGTATGGGTGGTCCCGGGGATCGAACCCACTACCTTGGCGTTACAAGCGCCGTGCTCTACCATCTGAGCTACAGAGGACTCTGTTGGGGGAAGAGTTTGGATGAGTTGTGCACTATGGTGTCAAAATTAAACCATGTTTGTCGTGGTAAGCATGGTTTGGATGGTTTGTGTGTGTGGACAATCCCAGAGGTTTTGAGTTTGCAGTGAAGATGGGCAGGGGGTGGTTGGGTTGACTGTTTGGACTACTGATGGCTCTGCTAGCTTCTACGATGTTGCAATCATTTCACTGCTTCTCACACCAATTGCACCTACCGTTCTTTGTGCTTTCTCTCCCTTCCTCCTGTCCTCCCCACCACCAGGTTCCTGACCAAGCGGGAGCAGGGTCTGATGCATCGGCGGAGGCACGCGGAGGAGCTGCTGGAGTGGAAGCAGAGGCTGGATGCTGAGGAGGCTGAGGTGAGGCGGATGGAGAAGCAGGCCCTGGCTGCCTGGGACAGAGAGCGTCCTAGAGATGGAGACGAGCGGTCAGATCACAGAGACCGCTCCAATGCTAGCACCGGCCAGCACAAACCTGAGGGGAAAGACTGATAGAGGTGAGAGACCACTGTTGACAGACACTGAGCTATAGGCCTATTGTATGAGATGAAATATATGCACACGGTAGTATGCAGTAGTTTCTGTTTATTGCTTGTTATCAGGTATGTGTTTGCTTGCATTGTGCCGTATATTTTTATGAATGCGAGAACATCGTACAGTCCATCTAGCTAGCTGCACCTCCATGTTTGAGGCTGCAGGTGTATGTATCTGCTCTTGACCTTTGTGTGTGTATCTCCTCCTTAGACTCTGTGAGTGAGGGTGACTACTCCCCAGTAGTGACTGGCTCCAGTGTGCACACAGAGCTGTCTGGGTCCCAGCAGCCAGACATCCCCTCCACTGATCCGCCTGGTTCTGTCTCTGACCTGCCTTCTGCCCAGTACAGCCCCTCCATATACACCCAGGACTTTGACTCCCCCTCTGCGAGCAAGAGAGTAAGGCACTGTGCATTTTGTGATGTTATCTATTACTACGGTAGAAAGACATGGATTACATTTGTTTATGAACTCTTCCATAAGTTTAGATAATTTTAAAAGTCCCCCTCCTAAAAAAAAAAAAAAAAGCAACATATGAAAAGGAATACAGGGAATTGTATGAGTTAACAGAATCTGTCAACGCGCATGCACCAAGTATTATCCCTCCTGAGAGCGAAGTGAGACTTTGTTAGCTCTCTTCCCATCAAATTTTATTTGTGATATGCGCCGAAGACAACAAGTGTACACTTTACCGTGAAATGCTTACGAATGAGCCCTTTCCCAACAATGCAGTAAGAAACTTAACAAATAGATAAAAATAAAATAGTAACACAATAAAATATAAATAGTACCGGGACCAGATCAGTGTACGGGGTAGTTGGGGTGGTAGATTGAGGTAATATGTACACTACCGGTCAAAAGTTTTAGAACACCTACTCATTCAAGAGTTTTTCTTTATTTTTACTATTTTCTACATTGTAGAATACTAGTGAAGACATCAACACTATGAAATAACACATATGGAATCATGTAGTAACCAAGTGTTAAACAAATCAAAATATATTTTACATTTGAGATTCTTCAAATAGCCACCCTTTGCCTTGATGACAGCTTTGCACACTCTTGGCATTCTCTTAACCAGCTTCATGAGGTAGTCACCTGGAATGCATTTCAATTAACAGGTGTGCCTTGTTAAGTTAATTTGTGGAATTTCTTTCCTCCTTAATGCGTTTGAGCCAATCAGTTGGGTTGTGACAAGGTAGGGGGGGTATACAGAAGATAGCCTTATTTGGTAAAAGACCAAGTCCATATTATGGCAAGAACAGTTCAAATAAGCAAAGAGAAACGACAGTCCATCATTACTTTAAGACATAAAGGTCAGTCAATCCGGAAAATTTAAAGAACCATCAAGCGCTATGATGAAACTGGCTCTCATGAGGACCACCATAGGAATGGAAGACCCAGAGTTACCTCTGCTGCAGAGGATAAGTTCATTAGTTACCAGCCTCAGAAATTGTAGTCCAAATAAATGCTTCACAGAGTTCAAGTAAGACACATCTCAACATCAACTGTTGAGGAGACTGTGTAAATCAGACCTTCATGGTCAAATTGCTGCAAAGAAACCACTACTAAAGGACACCAATAAGAAGAGACTTGCTTGGGCTAAGAAACACAAGCAATGGACATTAGACAGTTGGAAATGTGTCCTTTTGGTCTGGAGTTAAAATTTGAGATTTATGGTTCCAACCGCCATGTCTTTGTGAGACGTGGTGTGGGTGAACGGATGATCTCCGCATGTGTATTTCTGCATCAGATGGCCTGGCCTCCACAGTCACCCGACCTCAACCCAATTGAGATCGTTTGCAATGAGTTGGACCGCAGAGTGAAGGAAAAGCATCCAACAAGTGCTCAGCATATTTGGGAACTCCTTCAAAATATATTTTGATTTGTTTAACACTTTGTTGGTTACTACATGATTCCATATGTGTTAATTCATAGTGTTGATGTCTTCACTATTATTCTACAATGTAGAAAATAGTAAAAATAAAGAAAAACCCTTGAATAAGTAGGTGTTCTAAAACTTTTGACCGGTAGTGTACATGTAGGTTTGGTTAGGTGATAGATTGAATAGGTAGGGGGTGAAAAGCAGAAATTCCGGGTAGCCGTTTTAATTAACTGTTCAGCAGTCTTATGGCTTTGGGTTAGAAGCGGTTCAGGAGCCTTTTGGTCTCAGTCTTGGCGCTCTGGTACCGCTTGCCGTGCGGTAGCAGAGAGAACAGACTGTGACTTGAGTGGCCAGAGTCTTTGACAATTTTAGGGCCTTCCTCTGACACCGCCTGGTATAGAGGTCCTGGATGACAGGGAGCTCGGCCTCAGTGCTGTACTGGGCTGCACGCACTACCCTCTGTAGCGCAATGCGGTCGGATGCCAAGCAGTTGCCATACCAAGCGGTGATGCAGCCAGTCAAGATGCTCTCAATGGTGCAGCTGTAGAAGTTTTTGAGGATCTGAGGACCCATACCAAATATTTTCAGCCTCCTGAGGGGGAAGAGGTGTTGGGCAGCTCAGTGAATGTAGGCCTTTGTCCAGGGTCCAGACTCGGTTGATTCTTCAGGGAATTGTCACTTTCCTTGTGCACAGTTAATTTGTTACTTGAGTGTTTTGTGATTGTGACATTCAGTATTGTTCATTTAACTGCCCTATTGGGTCAATAAGAAAACACTTAAAAAAATTATTTATTTCATTCACTCTTGTGAACTTATTTTATGGAACTAGGTGTCATAGTTATTTGGGGTTAAATCATCTCAGGAATTTAGAAGCCACATGCAAATGAGATGTAAGCAGGAAGACTCAAGTCTAAATGTCACAGAAAGGCATCTGTGCATGTGCCGTTAGGGACACTGCCTTTTGAGTGTTTTGGTGTGTGTGTTTTGGTGTGGCGTGGTTAGTTAGTTGGGGCATGCTGTTGTTGTGAATGTCAGACTGTCCTGAATTCCCCTTGGGCCCTATCCTTTTCCTCTGTTGTATAGTCTCCTTCACCAAAAGCCAGCCTCAGCACTAACACACACCTAGAGGGCAGCAGCAGCAAGATGCAGCTCCGCTCCTCCTCCAGGACCGCCAGCCACGACCCCAAGGCCACTGACACCCCCTCTGGCACACACACAGGTGAGTTGGTCCCCTCTCTGGAGCAGTAGGACCTCCAAAACGGGACATCATTTTTATTTTCTGTTAGAGCTGTCGAAAGAGGACTGACTGTGCAGGCATAATGTGATGCCGTAAGAAAAGGATTGTGTGCAGTTCCTTGACGCTCAACCTGCTTAGTTGTGTTATGGGAGTATGGAAGCTTCCCAGCCTTCACTGGGCTACAGTCATAGTCCTTAAACTGTAGTTTCTGGTTCTGTTGTGCTATTACAGTGGACATTTCAATCATCAGATTTTATCACAAACATAACATTTTTGGAGTAGCCTATGAATGTCCGTATCGACAAACCGCAAATAATTACATATTTGCCCCCGCTTCTGAGAATTTGAGTTCAGTAGTTCTAAGTTGGATTACTTTATACTAATCAGTCTGGCATGGATTTAGCATTTTAACCAAACCTATTGTGTCACACAGAGCCCATGTCGGATCAGAGCGACATCGAGAGCCGTATCCGTGCCCTCAAAGAGGAGCTACGCAAACGCAAGTCTGTGGTGTACCAGCTGAAGAAGGAGCAGAAGAAGAGGCACAAAGAGCGTCTGAAAGCCCAGGAGGCCAGCCTACTGAAGCAGCTAGAGGTCAGTGTGTGTCAGAGAATCCTAGCCTGCCCTGCTCCATTCAATGAGCAATAACAAGAAGAGTGACTTACTTTGGGCTTTGTTTGTTTCCTTATGTCTAGTCCTACAATGACTTCATTGAGAAGACCGAGACTGAGTTGAATAAGGAACCAGACTCGACACCTGCTGCCAAGCCTCAGATCAAGGCCCCCACCTCAGCCACAGAGAAGCCCAAGGTTAAACCAATACCTCCTTACAGGTACACCAGCGCACTAACTATGTGTATGTTGCACAAACTGATCAATGGGTCCATTTTCATTGGATCTTCATCTAAAAAAATGGTTTCTCTCCAGGCCTGAAACCGGCAAAAACTGGAAGGTTGTCTCTGACTCTGAGAAAGCTGAGAAGACACTTCCACATTCTCCAGTTGAACAAGGTGGGTTGTGCATTGTCAAGAAGTTTATTTTTCTCCACGTTGACGTTTGTGCCCATGCTGTGATGATATCACCATTTTTTTCCCTATATATATATATATTTTTTCAGATGACCTCACAACATCTGGGCTCAGTAAATATACCGCAGGGCATGAGGAATCCTCAGACGAGGACCCCCCTACAGTGACCCCAACTCCAGTGTATGGGAGTCCAGAGCACACCAACGGTCTGAGGGGCCTGCTGTCCCCCAAGCCTCTCCCCAGGAAGCCCTCTGAGGGGGCACTCTCCCTGAGGGAGCCAGCCAGGCCACAGGCCACCAACTCTGGGGATGAGCGCGTCGTCTCCAGCCACCGGTCAGAGGTCATCGAGGAGCTGGACTCTGTGAAGTCTGAAGGATGTGAGCACACTCAGTCACGCTCTGAAGACAGTCACTTTGACCATCTACTCAAACCTGACCTAGAGCAGAGCCCAGCCTCCCAGCAGCACCAGTCTCTGTCAGAACATGTTTCCTCAGAGAAAGGAGAACAAGGGCTTTCCCCGATAAGCAGTCTTGATGTTGATGAGAAATCTGCTAAATCACCATCCCCCATCAAAGGGCAATCCTACACCCCTGAGTCTGATGTCTTATCATCAAAGAGTGACTTTTCAGCCAAGGGTAAGGAGGCCTCTCCTCCTTCAGCTGATGGTTATCATGAAGACTTTAAATTCTCTGTGGAGTCTTCACTCAGGGAGGACAACCAAGGCTCCAAACCTACCTCACCATCCCACCAAGAGACCAGAGAGGCTTCCCACAGCAGGTCACCCTTCTACAGTAGTGAGGAGGAGATCGGTGAGGAGCTGAGTGGAAGATCTGGAGCTACTAGTGGCAGTCCTCGCTCTGAAATACTTCTGGACCTGCAGAGCCAGACCAAGGATTCCCAGGTCATTAGTTCAAACCGCTCCCCAACTATCTCCCCTTCCCAGACCCCACCTTCACTAGCACTGGATGAAATGCCTAACTTCACGATTGGAGACAGGGTTTTAGTGAGTAACGTCCAGCCTGGTACGCTTAGATTCAAGGGCCACACCAGCTTTGCCAACGGCTTCTGGGCTGGAGTGGAGCTGGACAAGTCTGAAGGAAGCAACAATGGCACCTACGATGGGGTGGTGTACTTTGAGTGTGAGGAGGGCCATGGCATCTTCGCTCCTCCGGACAAGATCTCCCGTTTGCCAGAGAAGTTTGAGATCTACGTAGACACCACAGAGGATGAGGACTCTTTCCTTGACGACCAATCTGAAAACAAGCCAAACAAATGCAACTTTGAAAAGAAAACGCATGAAAGAAATCTGCAAAATAAAAGAGGGGGAACATCTCAGAATTATCGTTCTGGAGACAACGGACCTACTGATGTGAATGATGATTCAGCTGAACACCAGACAAACCTGATCAACTTACATGAGTTCAAAGAGGGAGAATATCCAATGTCCAATGGAAGAACCAAGACCATCCTCCTGGACCTTGAAGATGTACCTACCAGTCTCTTCATCACTGACATAGAATGTAAGATAAGTCTTGATGAGACCTCTACCCTCATTGAGAGGAAAGGCCTAGATGCCCATCAGAAGTTTACTCCAGAGCAGACCGTGGGGAAAGACGTCCTCAGTGCTTTTGCAGATAAGGTCCTCAACAACTTCATGAAAGATGCTGTGAAGCAATTCGCACAGATCAGAAAGGCCAAAGAAGAGAAGATATCAGCTGCTAATCAAATGAAAGATTTCATTAAAAAGGTAGAGGGTGGGGAAACTGTCTCCCAACCACAGGTTGTGGCACAGAGAGATGGTCTGCCCTTCTTCCTAGACGGAGACCAAAAGGAGCAAGTCTCGTCTCCAGAACTCTGTAACCGGCCGGTGAGTTCATCTGATCTCTTTTTAAAACTGTTATACAGTAAATGTTGTAAGTGTTAAAACATACAGTATTTTCTTCAGATAATGTGATAACCTGCAATCACATGTGCAATGCATTTAATTTCTAAATTAGGATATTTTCAGCTAAAATACTTCAAAGAGCTGATGTTCTAGTAAATGATTAAACAGAACTGATAACATTGCTGTAGGGGAATCGATCAATAATTGAGCTTAGCAGCACTGTTGATAACCATCCAGAGTTGATTTTACCTCAAAATACCCTTTAGTCCAAAGGTCAAACAACTTTGACCAACAGGCTTATCTACACTGAGTGCAAGAAACATTATGAACACCTGCTCTTTCCATGACAGACTGACCAGGTGAATCCCGGTGAAGGCTATGTTCCCTTATTGATGTAACTTGTTAAATCCACTTCAATCAGTGTAGATTAAGGGGTGGAAATGGGTTAAAGAATGATTTTTAAGCCTTGAGACAATTGAGACATGGATTGTATGTGTGGCTGGGCAAGACAAAATATTTAAGTGCCTTTGAACGGGGTATTGTAGTAGGTGCCAGGCGCACTGGTTTGTATCAAGAACTGCAACGCTGCTGGGTTTTTCACGCTCAACTGTTTCCCGTGTGTATCAAGAATGGTCCACCACCCAAAGGACATCCAGCCAACTTAACACAACTGCAGGAAGCATTGGAGTCAACATAGGCCAGCATCCCTGTGGAATGCTTTCGACACATTGTAGAGTCCATGCCTGACGAATTGAGGCTGTTCTAAGGGCAAAAGGGTGTGCAGCACAATATTAGGAAGGTGTTCTTAATTTTTTGTACACTCTGTGTATATCCAATTGAATGTGGTGCTCTGTTTTCTTCTGTTTTTGTAGATATTTATCCCAGTAGAATTTAAAACGTTATTAAATTTTCATAGGGTTTTCACTTAGTGACTCTTGTCCTTCCTCTGTATCCATAGGAGAGTCCAGTGTTGGGGGCTAGTGGTCAGGAAGAGTTGACCAAGCGTCTGGCTGAGCTGGAGTTGAGCCGAGCGCTGCTGGATGAACTGGGGGACGAGCAGGAGTGGTTCGATGAGGACTATGGCCTCAGCTCCCGTAGAGAGCAGCAGAAACAGAAGCAACAGCAGGAGGAGGGGCTGTCAGCTGGGTCAGTAGGCCTGGCTGACCAGGTGAAGACCCCACCCAGACCAGAGCTGCCCCGGCAGCCCAAGCTCCCTGAGCAGCCTGCCATGGTGGTGCCTCACTCCGCCCCGAAGGTGGAGGAGCTGGTCGACGCTGCCACCCAGGAGATCTGGGACAGATGTAAACTGGGCCAGGGCACACAGACCCTCGCTGGGCTCGCAGTCCCCAAGCCTTCAGAGGAGTTCCTGGGATGCGATGGCAAGGATCCGGAAAGTCAATGTGTTCGCAGCTACAGACAGGTAAGGACACATTGAAAAGAGATGACCCATGTCATTTATTGAAATGTATCCACTGACATTTGCTTGCTATCTGCAGGCTGTATATGACTTATCATGGGAGATCATCAAGGAGATCTTTGCAGAGGATCCTAACGCCCATCAGCCTCAGTGGGTCAAGCCTCGACGCATGAACTCCTCCTACTTCCATAGAGTAAAGAGCCCTGGCGACATCACCAGAGTTCAGGTATGTATGTGAAACCGACATCAGTGTGCTTCTAACCGTATAGCTTCCTCCACTGTCCCTGTTCCATACCAGGCTCAAACTAGTGGTGTTCTGCTCGCAAACACACGTGACCTCCCTCCTTGACAACGTACCAAGCAATTGAGCTATAGAAAAAGCTCTATATCGATAGCTCCATTGGCAACATTTCAAGCTAGCTGTGGAGTGAGCTTACGCCACGTTGTTAACTCTGTTACATATGCAATGCTTATGGTGCCATCTAAAGTTTAAACTCGTCTTCCAGGCGTTCATCACCACAGAGGTGTTGAAACTGTATGGCCTGAAGAAGGACCACAACCAGAAAACAGATTGGCAGAAGATGCTGAAATTCGGAAGGAAAAAACGGGATCGAGTAGATCATATTCTGGTAAGAGCATTAAACGGTGATGCTTTAGGAGTGACTCGTTCTGAAACATTCTTAATTCAAGAAGTACTTTATTTTATGAATTACCCAACAAATGTGAAGTGTATTTTCTGATAGTAAGATGTCTTGTGTGCGTTTTCAGGTCCAGGAGCTTCATGAGGAAGAGTCTCAGTGGGTGAACTATGATGAAGATGAGCTCTATGTCAAGATGCAGTTGGCTGACGGTATCTTTGATGCATTGATAAAGGACACAGCAGAAGTTCTCACACAAATTCAGGAGAAGAGGTCAAAAAGAGCCCTTTCCTGAGCTTTTAAGCCTCTGTTTTAAACCCACCTTCCACCAGACAGTCCCTCCCACAGCCAACGTGCCAATGATCTCCAGATGCCTTCAGTTCAGTCAAACTGGTACCCCTCTGCAACACAGCTTTGGACTTGCTAATTGTGGATCTACCACGTCTTACACCAAACATCTTTGATCCAGCCTTTAACCAACATGTAAAGCCTCCCATGCTGGCTCCCCTGTTCATGTCCAGTCAAAGATGGAGTGGATCTTGTTTCCCAATAAATTCATCAATGCTGCTAAATTGACTGTTCCATGGCGAACTCATGAACTCAAGACAGTATTGAGGAGCAGTCTGGGTCATGTAATAACATGGGATGATGAGAAGATTATATATAACGAGTGGAAGTCATTGGGGTTATCAGATTGTATAAAAATGAAGTATTTTGCCTCTTGTATTGTGATATTTATTGTATGGAAATTATTTGATTATAGTTTTGTTGTAAGAAATCTTGCTGTTAACATGTTTCGAAACAAAGATTATTTTAGCATTTTGTGAAAGACTGATGAAATAACAAAGCACAAAAAGAAACGGCAATACATTGTATAGGGAGTGAAAAATAAATTCAAATATACCTTTTTTTGTATTTAATATTTAAGAATTCAAATATTAGTAATTGATGGGTTTAAACACTGTCCTTTTTCTTCCATGTTTTTGCCTAATAACTAGCCTATTGGCAATGAAAACGGATACCAAGAGGTTCTACCTGGTTAGTTTGGAAACCAGCCTGTCACGCTGGATTCAAGCCTTAAAATTAGCCTTTTACCTGATTTAGTTAAGTGCCTCTTTTGTTCTGTATGATTATGAATTGCCACACTCAAGAGCAACAACACAATTTCCAGGCCTTAGTTGATGTCTCTACTCTTATTCACCTCCTTTCTTTTGAATGTTATTTACATATACATAAATACCTAAAGGAAAACTGTTTTTCCAACTGGGTTAAACTTCAGTCTCTGCCTTGTTCAGTGTCTACCTAAGCATACTTCTAACCAGAGAACACCTTTTGAAATCCCCCATTTGCCTTTTGCTCACAGACTGTCGGTATTGCATTTCTAATGTTTCTAAGGTAGTATAACTCAAATGCCATTTATGGTAGTTAAATACACTTGCTTCTATGGCATTAGGCCTCTGGGCGTCACTGATGATGCGCTTCTGATATACTACAATGGAACCAAGTGTTCTCTCCATTCGTCACGTACACAATGGCTTTAGCAGCATGGTAGCAAGTGTGAGTCATTGATTAATTTGTGTGGGTCATAGCATTCAACAATGTTCAAGGGCTTATTCTGTCCTCTCATCACTAGATACCTTAGTCTAAGAATGCTGTGATGTACAAATTAATTTGCCATGCATGACGATGCTTGTCAGTTGTAATGTCAGTTAGCCAAGTGACAATTGTGGGAATGAAAGTAGTTTCCATGCCAATTTGCATTTGACCACCACTGTTCTTCTACCAGAAGAAGGAGTGGATAAACTGTCTATTGTGAGATGTTGGGCTGTACATTTCCGTTTGGTACCCATTACTCCATGATATGCCTCATTTTCCCGTCCCTAACTGTGTGTAATGAGAAAATAGTGATGTGATTTAGTACCTAGGAAATGCATTTCCACAAGTCTGTATTGCAACACTTCCCTCTAGAATGGTCAGAGAAATCTGAATTGATTGTAGCTGCGGATAAATATTAATTGATTGTAGCTGGTGGATGTAATGTCCCATTTTATAACTAACTATGCAGTATTTGTTGATCGGATACATTGCTTTATGTTTGGATTATACAAGCCAGCTTTGTAGTCTTTTGGAAAATCATTGAATCGCAATGTAATCAATATGCCTCCAGACAGTTTTCAAACTGCTGTCTGTAGTAGGACTGTGTTGGCCCTTGCTGTAAAGATGGGGATTTTAACTCCAAAGCAAAAATGTATATTAGGCAAAAATCGTTCGATAATGAAATTGAGTAGACTAGAGAAATCTTTTTGCATCTTTTAAAGTGTATGAATATTTATAATGTATTACTGTCAGAGACGCAGGTACACTTGAAGACTTGTACATTGTTTTATGGGGTGTAAATATACTAGAACAGTTCCCTGTTGGAACTGACTATTGAACCTGGAAGATTATTGTAAAATAAACATTGTTCACTTTGCAGATATGTATATAGTATACATATATTTGAACTAAATTGAACTTTGAAATTGTAAATAAATCTTTCATTTCCGAATCTTAAATGTCTGCTATAACCTGCAAAAATCGCTACCACACTTTTCTAGCTCAGTGCCCCAAGTGTTTGGCCAAATGTGGTTTGCCTTTTCATTTTTTTATTTTATTTGAGTGATTTGCATAAGTGTATTATTATAAACAAAGCTGCAGGACATCCTCACTGTGTCCTGTTACACCCTGAGTTATACCCCACACTTTGTCAACGCTGACTCATCACCTCAGCATTTGATCATCATTAGCGTGTGGAAGTAGAATATGACAAGCATTAAAATACAATGAAGCTCATGCATTGAAAATGTAACCCATACTCACAATTCCTTTTATAAAACTATACTGAACAAAAAATATAAATGCAAAAATGTCAACAATTTTACTGAGTTAGTGTATATAAGGAGATCAGTCAATTGAAATAAATTCATTAGGCCCTAATCTATGGATTTCACATGACTGGGCAGGGGTTTAGGCCCACCCATGGGGGAGCCAGGCCCAGCCAATTAGAAATAGTTTTTCCCCACAAATGGGCTTTTATTACGGACAGAAATACTCTTCAGCACCCTGTGATCATGCTGTTTAATCAGCTTCTTGATATGCCAAACCTGTCAAGTGCATGGATTATATTGACAAAGGAGAAATGCTCACTAACGGGGATGTGAACAAATTTGTGCACACATTTTTTTTGTGCCTATGGAAAATGTCTGAACTTTTATTTCAGCTCAAGAAACCAACACTTTACATGTTGCGTTTATATTTTTGTTCTGTATATACGGTTCAAGGATAGTTGCTTTGGGGTTACAAATTGCATGTTCAAAATATGGATTGGACAAAACACCTGCCTGATATGTCAAGTCAAGTGATATGGCAGATGCAGCTGGCAATGGTTGATTGGCCAGACAGTATGGAATAGCCACAAAGTAAATATTTAACAAGAGGTTGATTCTTGACAGAAAACAAATCTAGCAGGCCAGGCTGAATCAGCTGAACATGATGTGGTTCTGTGGGAGGTTACAAATGAATACATTGTATGAAATATAGGCCAATGGATAGACTTTGGACACCACAATTATTGGGGATGTTACAATGTATATCTACTGTCTGTTGGCAAAAGTCGCTGCACAATCCTGCTGCTGATCAAACTAAATTGCTTTCCATCATTGAGGTTTAAGAACAACTATAGCCAATGGAATGTCTCTGTCTTACGTTATGAATTTAGCCAAATGACTGATTTAGCCCTGCTTCTGCGGGCGGTGAGGGGATGGGGGAGGGAGTTGGACGAGTGACAAAGTGAAAAAAGTTTATCACTTTCTTATACAGTGGTTGCCTTGCTGAGCTGCTGGCTGTCAGAAAGAAAACACTCGAAGATGGCGCGGCGCTGCTGCCGTGCCACGTCTCGGTTTACAGGGAAAATACAAGCAAATTTGACAGCGTCATTCATATCTACGATCTTCATATTTGTGTGTTTACTTTTTCCTTTTACCACCGAAGCTGGCTTGTACACTGCTTCTGATCAGATAGTCATCTTAACCCCGGATAATGTGGACAGCGTTTTGGTCAATTGTACGGCGGCACTGGTGGTTGAGTTTTACGCCTCTTGGTGCGGGCATTGTATTGCATTTTCTCCCGAATGGAAACGTCTCGCAAGAGATATTAAAGGTTGGTGTGCATTTTCACGTAATAAAAATGTTCAATGTAAATTCAACGGGTTGTTAGTAAACCAGTCATAATTGACTGGTCGTGGTGTGCATAAGTGCATGGGTAATTGTTTTTTATATGTTGCAATGTGGATCCATAAATGTGTCTTCATTTTGCAGAGAAGGCCTATACATGTGTTTTTGTTGTATGCCCATCATCAAACTTCAGTGCACATTGAGGCAGTGTGTAGTAACCAGTTAAAAATGGTTATGTAGACTTTTTTAAATGAATTATAAACTTTTTAAATAAAATAATTATTAATAATTGTTTACATTTATATTCCTGTATTCCACTTTAACATGTAAAAAAGCTGTGTGATTCTGACTGGTGATATGAGAACACACCTTGTTGTTTCCCACAGGACAGACAGTTTCTCAGCCCCCCTTCCAGAAAGCAGCCTCTACATTTGATTATTGGAGCATATGATGTGATTTAGGAGTTCATATTCTGTCCATGTCTGATCGCTACTCTTGTTCAAACACCATCCTTTGGAATCTCAAATGAGAATACTATTTGGCATTTCAGACCTCAGTCTATAAGCAGGATCCAGTTAACTATAACAGGAAAATAATTCCACACAATTAGTTTGAAATTGACATAGTTTCCTATTGGCAGCAGGCCCAAACACAGAAAGGTTTTAAGGCCTCAGATCTCGAGAGCGCATGGCCCACCAGCCTCTGGCCTGCTTTCAAGCTGATCATACAGAATCATTTTATATGCTTGGGAGCAGTAATAATAAGAGGAATATTTGGTACAATGGTCAAAAGCTGTTTTGACTTTTGAATTCCTGCATATAACCCTTATTTGGTGCATTGACTTTGACACTAATTATCTGTCTCCCCAGAGTGGAAACCTGCTGTGGATGTAGCAGCCATAGACTGTGCTAATGAAGAGAATGGGCCGATTTGTTCCCGTTTTGGCGTCAAGGCGTACCCAACGCTGAAGGTACTTCAACTGTAATATTCCACAAGCCTTGTGGATTTTCAGTGTCTTACATCACCGGAACATGTATCCAATGTTTAAAAATGTACCGTATCTCACTGTGATCGTGAGTCATTATCAGCTTTTTTGACTCTGAAACGTTGCTATATATAAACTCATAACCCCTAAGTGTTACATTTCAGTCGTTACATTTCAGTCAGCAATGCACTCACTTTAGATTAGTCAGCAATAAATCTGTTATTTTTCTCCCTTTCTGTCATCCGGTGAAAGTCAAATGAAAGGGATCATTTGTCTGAATGAATGAGGGAACTGAAACATCTGCAGTTGATTTAAAGCATGAAGGGGTTGTGGGGGGAGGGGTGTCCCCAGTTCCTCCCAGTGGTCAACATGTGGCCACCTGCCATCTGATCCTCTCTCTCTCTCTCCCTCTGACAGTTCTTCCACGCTTACTCCAAACCTGACTCCAAGGGACAAGGTTTCAGAGGTAATGCAAATGTTCTGATAATTCCTGGGGCAGATGGTGATCATATGAATGGTTAGTATGAGAAGTTTTGAAGAAAAAAAAAAGTATACATGTCCTCTTATTAATCCTGTGTGCCTGAATCCTCCCAGAAGTTCCTCGTGATGTGAGGGGTTTACGCCATAAGATCATTGAGAAGATGGAGACCCATGAGGAGCCCTGGCCACCTGCCTGCCCCCCTCTGGAGACAGCTAGGTGAGGCAGCCTCTTCTGAACACCCTGGAGCTCACACAACAGACAGTACCTCTAGGGCAGGGGTCTCCAACAGCTCGATGGCGAGATCCAAGTAGCTAGCAGACAACCTATGAGTAGCGCGCCAAACAATTCTGAAAGTACATGCAATTTTCACGTGTTCCATTGCAAACTTTCATAAACAAATCTCACAAGTATCAGACACCATAACCTCCCAGCTACTACCTAACCAATGCAAAATTAATATTTTCCCACCCCTGTTTAGACACTACTGGCTTAAAAAGCCAAACCTAACACAATATCTGCCAATACGTTTCCAGCAATATTGCCCCTTTCGGTCTGTGTGGTGTGGGCGTTTGTCTATCACTTCATGTGTAGTCAGTGCTTGACTTGGATTGAAATTGTTGCCGGTACTCATTTTGGGTGCCGGTACTGTTTATATTCAGGTGCAGGAGCTCCACAGTACTTTTTAGCTAATATTCTATAAGAGGAACAGGAGCTCAAGCAGTAGAACATTTGAGGTGCTGGTACTCTGCTCCGGTGAGCTCCTGCCCAAGTCAAGCACCGGTACCTATTGTGAAATGTGAGTTCAAATAAATGTTTACCTGAACAAATGATTAGATGGCCTGCAAAACAACTGCCAGTAGTGATGGAACGTTAACGAACGAACGGCTCTTTTTGAACTGCTCTTTTTGGTGAATGTCTGGAACCAAATTGCATCTGTGAAAGAGCTGATCATTTTGCTTCCTGATTTGCATACTTTTGCTATTGCTTTTTGTGCTCCGGACATCGATTATCTGCAGATACATTATAAAACGTTCTCTGAAGATGGTAATTCCTCAGTGCAGGAGCAATATAGTGAGGAGAGAGCCTCATTCTGGCCCACGCTAATTTTTTCAGTGTGTTAAATTTTGTTGAAAAAATAATATTTGCAGGCCATCTAATAATTTGTTCATGTTATCATTTATTTGAACTCACATTTCACGATCTGTCATTGGTGGACAACTTTTGAGGCTTTAAAATAGAAATGTTTTTTTCATGTTTTAGGTCAATTTCTAAGCATTACTGAAAGAAGAGCCGTTTGAGCCAAATTAACGGCTCTTTTAGGTGAACGGAGCCAAATGATCCAGCTCACAGAAAAGACTCGGAATGCCCATCACTAGTAGCCAGTTGATGCGATAACTGTCTTGTGGGTTGACAGAGATACTTTTCCCAAAACTTTCCCAAGTAAATGTTAACTGCAAAGTAGTCTTACCTGGCAGAAGTACACTACCGTTCAAACGTTTGGGGTCACTTAGAAATGTCCTTGTTTTCAAAAGAAAAGCAATTTTTTTGACCATTAAAATAACATCAAATTGATCAGAAATACAGTGTAGACATTGTTAATGTTGTAAATGGCTATTGTAGCTGGAAACGGCTGGTTTTTGGGGAATATCTACATAGGCGTACAGAGGCCCATTTATCAGAAACCATCAGTCCTGTGTTCCAATGGCAAGTTGTGTTTGCTAATTCAAGTTTATTATTTTAAACGGCTAATTGATCATTAGAAAACCCTTTTGCAATTATGTTAGCACAGCTGAAAACTGTTGTGCTGATTTAATGAAGCAATAAAACTGGCCTTCTTGAGACTAGTTGAGTATCTGGAGCATCAGCAATTGTGGGTTCGATTACAGGCTCAAAATGGCCAGAAACAAATAACTTTCTTCTGAAATTCGTCAGTCTATTCTTGTTCTGAGAAATGAAGGCTATTCCATGCGAGAAATTACCAAGAAACTGAAGATCTCGTACAACGCTGTCCCTTCACAGAACAGCGCAAACTGGCTCTAACCAGAATAGAAAGAGGAGTGGGAGGCCCCGGTGCACAACTGAGCAAGATGACAAATACATTAGTGTCTAGTTTGAGAAACAGACGCCTCACAGGTCCTCAACTGGCAGCTTCATTAAAACACCAGTCTCTACGTCAACAGTGAAGAGGCGACTCCGGGATGCTGACCTTCTAGGCAGAGTTGCAAAGAAAAAGCCATATCTCAGACTGGCCAATAAAAAGAAAAGATTAAGATGGGCAAAAGAATACAGACACTGGACAGAGGAAGATTGGAAAAAAGTGTTATGGACAGACAAATCGAAGTTTGAGAGACGCAGACCAAATGAAAAGATGCTGGAGGAGTGCTTGATGCCATCTGTCAAGCATGGTGGAGGCAATGTGATGGTCTGGGGGTGCTTTGGTGGTGGTAAAGTGCGAGATTTGTACAGGGTAAAAGGGATCTTGAAGAAGGAAGGTTATCACTCCATTTTGCAACGCCATGCCATACCCTGTGGACTGTGCTTGATTGGAGCCAATTTCCTCCTACAACAGGACAATGACCCAAAGCACAGCTCTAAACTATGCAATAACTTTTTAGGAAATAAGTAGTCAGCTGGTATTCTGTCTATAATGGAGTGGCCAGCACAGTCACCGGATCTCAACCCTATTGAGCTGTTGTGGGAGCAGCTTGACCGTATGGTACGTAAGAAGTGCCCATCAAGCCAATCCAACTTGTAGGAGGTGCTTCAGGAAGCATAGGATGAAATCTCTTCAGATTACCTCAACAAATTGACAACTAGAATGCCAAAGGCCTGCAAGGCTGTAATTGCTGCAAATGGAGGATTCTTTGACGAAAGCAAAGTTTGAAGGACACAATTATTATTTCAATTAAAAATCATTATTTCTAACCTTGTCAATGACTACATTTCCTATTAATTTTGCTATATTTCCTATTCAAACTCATTTCATGTATGTTTTCATGGAAAACAAGGACATTTCTAAGTGACCCCAAACTTTTGAACGGTAGTGTATATTATGAGTAAGTATATCATTTGTGTGTATTTGTTATTTGCTAACTTTGCCATGAAATGAGCAGCAGCGGTACAGAACCATCGCTAGACCAGTACATTAGAAGGCACACTGGAGGGGGCAGTACAGAACCATCGCTAGACCAGTACATTAGAAGGCACACTGGAGGGGAATTACACTCAAACATCTAATGTTAGTGTTCTTCCAGACCAAAACATATTGTCTTCTGATGGGATTTAAGCATTGACATTGACTCAGAACATCCAATTGTGTTGTTTCTCTATGAACAATTGTATTTTTTAAAAGTGAAAACCCCCCAAAATAGAAAACCAGGAAAATAGAGAACAGAATATGGGAGAAAAAATATCAAACATTTTATAGGGCTCCCCTTAGAATTATTTTACCAGGTATATTGACATAGTGCACTGCTTTCTCTTGTACACTAAGGATCTGGGGAAGAGTTGCAGGGGAGAGGAAAAGAGAAGAATGTGCCTATTTGAAAGCTAGAAAATGTATACCTTTTAAAAAGTAGCTCTCATGCTAGAAAAGGTTGGAGACCCCTGCTCTAGAGCCTAGGCCATCGTGTCTTCCATTTTATAATGTGACAATACCACCCTTTCTTTAAATGAGGGTGTATGTTGGGTTGTGCCACAGACTGCTCCAAACCATCATAAGTGCAACTTCAGTTTTACTTTTCACATGATTTATCTCAGTGACTTTACAAGATAATGGTTGATAAAATAAGAAGTAGAATAAACAAAACAGTCAAGAGATCACATTGATTCCTCTTTTCTGAATGAAAGTGTTAGATAATGAGGTCCTCTTCCTCTTTTTAAAGAAAACAACTTATAGGGATAGTTCACCCAAATTACAAAATGACATATTAGTTTCCTTACCCTGTAAGCAGTCTATGGACAAGGTATCACAGCAGTCCATGCTTTGGTTTTGTTTACCTGGCCACTGTTTCAAATGCTTACTTTTGAGCATTTATGGCACAAATCCAATGCCAAAGTCAATGGTACCTATATTAGCATTTTTGCACTTCATATCCAAATCATCCTAAAGTATGTACAAGTTGATTGTGTAACTCAATTAAGTTACTTATAGATGATTTGGATATGAAGTGCAAAGATGCTAATGACTTGCTGACTTGCATTGGATCTGTGCCATAAATGCTAAAAATGTAGCGTTTGAAACAATGGCCAGGTAAACAAAACCAAAGCATAGATTGCTGTCATACCTTGTCCATAGACTGCTTACAGGGTAAGGAAACCAACATGTCATTTTGTAATTTGGGAGAAGTATCCCTTTAAGGCCCTATCCCATGTGCAATTTGTGTTACATGTCAATGCTCAGGTTGTGCTGCTGTTCACTTTATAGTCTCAATAGAAAAGTACTTGACGTTTCAAACGTCAGTGTTTATGGAAATGTTGTGGTCACTCTGTAGAATGTATTATTCTCTTCTCTCCACAGCAAAGCAGAGATTGACAACTTCTTTGAGACTAACAGTGTGGAACACCTGGCCTTGATCTTTGAGACCTCTAACTCATATGTGGGCAGAGAGGTAAGAATTAATTATCAAGCTACAAGCTCCTCAGAGGGAAATGGAGGAGAAAACATCCTGGGGTGATCAACTAGAAAATGTTTTTCATGAACATGTTTACTATGTATAGAGCTCCACAGTGGAGGTGTCATAATACCCATAAAGCTTAGCGGTCAAACAGGAAAATGGTTCCAATCGTTTTTCCACCATTCATTTTTCCCATAGGGGATTTTAGAAACACTTAAAATAAGGGCAGTGTTTGGTAACACTTTACTTGACACCCAGCGTCATAACACATTATGACATGGTCATAATGTGTCGTAACAGCTGACATAACTTGTCATAACCTGTTAAAATGTGATCATAACACTGTCAAGACATACATTTAGACCTGTTGTGACATATATTGCATTATTTTATGGCTGGTTATGACACCTACATAAGAATGTCAAAGCTCACAAAACCTACCATGGTAGTTATTTTATGGCTGGTTATGATGCCTACATAAGTGTAAAAACCCACAAAACCTACCACACAAGGCAAAACATTCCATTACACCATAGCATACGTGTCAACAGTATGTTTATGTTATATCATTTTTAAATTACATTTATTGACCATGTTATCATTGTAATTGTGCACACATTGATGTCAGACATGCACCTATCCCAATGCTCTGTTGCTGATGACTGGGATGAATACAGGAGCAGATTTCAGGAGCAGGACAAGACACCCTCTTTTTGACTGATGACTGAGATAAGGGCATGATAGCCCTATCTGGCTTATATGGTGGTCATAATGCTTCATGATAGTGTCAAAGTGTATTTTCTACAAATTATAAAAAATATGATGAAAAAAACATGACTGTAAAGGATGTAAGAAACTTTCAAACGAAAGGAAACTTCTTGAATTTGATTAAATGTTGTTTTTGATACATATGTAGGTGTCATAACCAGCCATAAAATAACACAATATATATCTCAACAGGTGTAAATATATGGGTCATGACAGTGTTATGACCATGTTATGTCAGCTGTTATGACATGTTTATGACTGTTGCATGACATGTTATGACACTGGGTGTCAAGTTAAGCGTTACCCTGTGTTTCGTTTAGGCTTACCCTGGTGTGACGTTTTGATAAATCTCTCTTGTACAAGGTGACTTTTTTATCAATATATTCGGCTCAATTTACTCTCAGATTCGAAAATACTAAAGAAACATCATGCAAAACTGCAAATCTTTCCAAATCAAATTTTATTGGTCACATACACGTGTTTAGCAGGTGTTATTACGCGTGTAGTGAATTGCTTGTAGTGCATGCTCGTTGCAAGCTCCTGCACGTCATCTCTAGCTGACACCTTTGCTAACTGGTATTGTGTCAATTTAAAACTTGCACAAGACAGTTCACAGAATTGTCAATTTTAAAGAAATGTAGCCAATTTATTCATTACTACATTTAGCTAACATTAAATAGTTAATATAGAGATTCTTACCTTTGCCTCGATTCGGCATGTCTAGTTCTTTATGGTAGCCACATTAGCAGCTAATTAGCATTTTATTTTTGTGGGGTAAATACAGGAAAATATATTGATAAGTCACCTTGTCCTAGAGAGATTTACACGGTTATCAAAACGTCACGCCAGGGTAAGCCTACACAAAACACAGCCCTTATTTTTCTAAAATCCCCTATGGGAAAAATGAATGGTGGAAAAACAATTGGAACCATTTCCCTGTTTGACCGCTAGGTTTTATGGGTATTATGACTCATGCTGTGGTACTCTATAGTATGCAAACAATATGTTGACTGTGTCAACAAGAGTGTGTCACTATGTCAACAGTGTACTTGCATGTTTAGTACAACCAGTTTTAAACAACAGACAGACAGTGGGTCATTACTGTGTTGGTTTGTCTTCGTCAACAGGTGACTCTGGACCTACTGCAGTATGAGAACATAGCCGTGCGGAGGGTCCTGAGCACTGAGGACGCCCTGGTGGCTAAACTGGGTGTGACTGACTTCCCATCCTGCTACCTGTACTATCCTAGTGGGAACGTCACCAGGCTCCATGTGTGAGTGGCTGCTCTAATACCATCACAATATGTGACAGAACTGCAGATCACTTTAGCTATCCTCAGTCTGGATCCTAATGTATCTACTCATCAAGAGTTTTTCTTCTTCAATTTTCATGGTTCAATAAGCAACAATCTTGTTGTGAAAGGCTTTATTTCGTTGTGTTATCCACAGCTATGATAGGATGCCTTTTAACATCTGGCCTCTTAATGGGATCATGGAATTAAAATACAAGTCATTATTCAATATCATAGTACTTTGTATGATGATTGCTCACCCCATTAATTAATCTGCTGTTTCTTTCGCGTTGTTTTGCTTATTTCAGTAACTTGGCATGCAAGAGAAGTCTTTTTAGTTGACAAATGCAAAAAAGAAATTATTTATTGCTCATTTATTTATTCCCCCCTCCTCTTCCCGAGCATAAAGAGGGGTTTTTCATTTCTTGCATGAAAACAATGGCGTTCATTTCCTGCGGTTCACCTGCCAAGCCACCCCAGCCTCGCCTTCGCGACAGATGGTCGCCCATCACAGCTGAATTGATCCAGGAGGGGTGGGGAAATGCAGTTGCACATCCGTCATGCGTGTGCCTCTCCCAGGTGAACGCAGCCCCTCCTCTCTTCAACGCGTGCCTCTGTGCTCTGGGGAACCCACTCTGTGCTCTGGGGTGGGCCGGGCGAGCTCAGGCCTGGAGCAGCATCCTCCTCCTGCTCTCATGTGCTCCTGGGAGGGAGGGTGGGTTTGGCTGGCTGGTGGGGACAGTGGGAGGGGTAGCAGTGTTTTTGTTCCATTGCCAGGGTTAGTGGAGAGGGAAATGATCAGCTATGGTATCTCAGCACCATCTGTTCAGCAGAGGAGAGAGGAGGCCATGAGGGCTTAGTGAGGGGACCAGGGGCCCACCTGTGGCTCCAGTTCCACACTCTACTGTGGTCTGATGAGGGCAGGCCCTGGCAGAGGCAACCACTTGTATCCTATTCCTAGACAGAGAAGCTAAAAAAGCTTATTCTTCCACTGTAGCTAGAATATACTGTGAGGTCTGTGTTTGTATTCTAGTGGGAAGGATTTTTCACCTGTTTCCATGGTTAAAATCCTCCTGTGGATGGCTGCCAGTTCAATGGAAATTCATCAGTCCTACTGCGAAACTGTCTGCTTGTCTTCCAGACAAAATGAGGCCCGGACCTTCTACACCTACGCCCTGCAGAGGCTTCCTGGGGTACTGCGGGCTGGAAAGCCACCACCAGTGACCTCTGACCTTGTGAAAAACACAACAGAGGACCAATGGAGACCGTTCAACAGGTAAACCATTTTAGCTCGACAAAGCAGTAATAGTGTAACCCAAAAAAGTTGGGGGGGTTATAAGCCTTAACAATGTAACCCCAGTGATTCCATGACAAAAAATGTGAATTCTGTGTGTTAGGTCTCGTGTGTATATGGCAGACCTGGAGTCTACTCTGCATTACTCTCTGCGCGTGGAGCTGGCAGCTCACCCTGTCATCAAAGGAGAGGCTCTGAGCGCTCTACAGCGTTACATCTCAGTACTGGCCAAGGTGATTGGGCAGGTCTACTCACCCCCTGAGACAAACCCTACCCATACTGAACAACACTAACCTCACATACAGTACATTCATCCTCTGTTCATATCGAACACCCTGAGGAAAGGGCTGTGTAGTTAGGGTGACACACCACTAGAGGGAGAGTGAGACAGTGCTTTGGAGTTGTAGGATATCAGTTGGGAAAGCACCTTTTTCTGCATGATTTAGCTGGACAGTTTGTTCTAAAATGTAACTTCGCTTTGAAAAATATAGCTGAAATATGGTCCCTATAATGCGTCATAATAATTAACAATTGCTCTCTTAGTACTTAGAAATATATACAATATTCATAATGGTATAACTATGTAATAATGACAATGTTACATATTTATTTCAGAAGAAGACATTCACAATTATTTGGGCACAGTATCACAGTAGGAATGACACCCTCAATGTCAAGCCCAAAATTGGAGGCCATTGACTTGACAGGACACAAAAGGCTCTCTTGGGTATCATTGAAATACTTAATTTGCTTCCCTGGTGAATAGAAGCGTGCCCATACCCCCCTCTTTTTTTGTATGCAGACATACCGTGATTAGGATTTCCTAGGACTGGGTCCCCTCCTCTCCTCCCTTCCCAGCGCTTAGCCTACCCAGAAGTGTGCCAGGGATTCTTTTGATTAGGCCCAAGACGATGGTATGTCACAACAAACTAAGATCCTTAACTTCCAGACTGTAATTGGATCATCCTGAGAATGAGTTACTGTGTACAGAACCTACAGCTGGTGTCACACTGATGAATCTGTGGTGTGCTGTGCAGTGCTGCACCCACATCACAGTGCATCTCCGTTCCAGACAGGACGTAAACAAGTTATATTTTCCTACGCCACAATATTACTAGATTTACTGTCTTGTCAACCAGAATCCGGATTTATGAATCCTTATATGTATATGAGGATTTTAAAAAGTGGATCTGGGAAGCATGAGCGCATTACAAAGAGGTTTTAGGATTACCGTTTCTACCCTGCTTTCTTGAAAGAAGCCTCCAGCAGCGATGGCGGGAGGGCCAGGGAATTAGGGGAACTTGAGCCCAAATCCAGCTGTCCTCCATCTCTCTCCTGTGGCGCGTGCCTCAGTGTGCCCATGCTAAGGTTAGCAGTTAGCGGAGGTGCATGGTGGTGGAATGTGGCTGTGGCAGCTGCTTGACATCAGTGATACTGTATAGGTAGCCCACCAACCTCTGGACTCCACAGTAGAACAAAGGTTGTTTGTTTGTCAGGCTTTGGCTGGGCTGTGGGCATGACAGATAGGTCCACTCGGCTGCTGCCTGCTTCCACAGTGGGAGCAGTTAGGCAGATTTTACTCAGTGGCATGTATATTGGTCCCTGAGGTCGAATGAGGCAGGATTAAAAAGGGCTTCCCCGGGCCAGGCCGACAGATGCATTCTCTTTTGAACGTCTCTGAGGAGACTGCGGTTTCTCAAGTGCTGATACTAATCGGATTTAAGATGACATATTGCTGTGGTGAAGTGGATTGTCATGGTCCTCCGAGAGGCTGGGGAGAGGGGGCAGAGTGGTTACGGTGGGGGCTCTGATAGTGGTTGGAGGTACACTAACAGAGAAGAGGTCACTTAGAGAGATCCTTCATAATGGGGATACAGTATGCTGTAGCATTGGTTCATCACAGTTGATATGTTCATGAAACTTTTGCCCATCAGTGACCTCTGCCAATACTTCAGACAATGTACTATTGATTTCCAAGCAAAATATGTTTGCCTTTGCTTATGATTTGGGAAATAGACACACAAGTGGAAAGCAGAACATGCTAAACGTTTGGCTCTAGTGAGCAAAGCCCATTAGTATCTCCGTCCCCAATTTCATCCCTCTTTGATTCAAATGTGTGTTAATGAGCTTTTCGGCCTGGTTAATGCCCAGTAGTCCCCAGACCTGGGCATCTGGGCCGGCTGGTCGCTAAACCAATTGTCCTCCTCAGCAGCAGCAGCCAGGGACCTCTTTTGTATCTTGTTAAAACCCCACCTGTAGTACATGATTGGGTATCTGTGAATACCCAAACACCATATTTTTGGCTGAATGTCTAAGATTAAGGGAGCAAATCAAAGCCTGTGTGGGGTGCAGGGGTTAAGTAAATCTCCAGGAGCCTTTTTAAGTGGGCTTGGTGTAATGGAGATCCAGTTAGAGAGTTATGAATAGAAGCCTGTGACAGGCACCCAAACTCTGCTGAACAGATGGCCAGGGCAAATTGAAAAGACTCCGCAGCACAAATAAAAAAAGGTGCACTTCTGGGATGCTGGCACCCCAGCCGTGCTGGGCCGGGCCCCTGCCTCTGTGTCTCACTGATGGGTTTGTGCCCCTGTGCCGCCCAAGGAAGCAAAAGGTCAGCTCTGGCCCACTTTCAGGTCCACCATATTCACACTGCTGGATGTTACTACACTGACTGTTTCTTTCCTCGTGTGCTTATGCGGGTGTGGGCATGTGTGCATGTGCATGTAATTTCATTGTTATCTACATTCTCCTCATAAGTAGTCACTTTTTCATGACTCAATGCCAGAAAATGCTAATGAACTTAAATGGTCCTTCGTGACTGAGACATCTTACCTCTGTTTTGAATGGGAGGAGATTGCCATGACAGCCTACTGTTTATTTGGTTGTCTCTCAGCCATTAGGGTGAAATCCAGGCCGACCTGTAGGATCTAGTCTTTACAGTATAATAGTGTGTCCTCCAGGGTGGCCGTTTTAGGAGTTCTTTAAGGATAGGAAGTGACTTTACACCTCCATTCAGCTGACAGCTCTTCTGTCACCACCGTCTGAAACACAAGGCACTGGGATTTCCTCCCTGCCTTCCATAGTGGCCCACTGTTGGTTGTAGTGTCATTCCGACACACGCCATGTTGTCTTGACAACTACAGAGGTTAGAGAACAGAAACAAACAGTATGAGAGAGAATACTGAAAAATCCTCCAGTGACTTATTACACGTTAAGAACTGCAAAAGCAGTTTTAGGTTAAACTTCTACCCTCAGACAGATGGCAAAAAGGATGGATTTCAAACTCCTAGTGATAACCTATTACCATACAGTTAAATAATAATAATAATATGCCATTTAGCAGACGCTTTTATCCAAAGCGACTTACAGTCATGCATGCATACATTTTTGTGTATGGGTGGTCCCGGGGCTCGAACCCACTACCTTGGCGTTTCAAGCGCCGTGCTCTACCAGTTGAGCTACAGAGGACCACAGTTAAAAAGATGCTGTTAAAGAGTCTATTGTATAAAATGTGAAGAGAGTTAATGATGATGTTTAACTGTAATGTTGTCTTGGGCAGTACTTCCCTGGTCGACCTGTGGTGAGGAACCTGCTGACGTCAGTGGACACGTGGCTGAAGGATCAGAACGACACAGAGCTCTCTTACAGCTCCCTGAGGGACGCCCTGGACAACACAGCAGAGGTGAGGGGTCAACCCAAAGCCACGAGCCAATCAGACAAGCCTGAGGCAGAACCACCCACCATATTGAGCCAGAGTTTATAAATAATTACTGAAATATTACAGGCATACTGCACACAAGGAAGTAGGTTTATGTAATGCTGTATATTCAGATATATCTCAATATGAATCTTTGCTCACAGCCTTGTGCCAGCATGTGTATAACTGGAAAATGTATGTGAAGTTGTCTTTGGATGAAAGCTTGCATGCCTATAGGTTTACAAATTGGACCAGTCACTTAGTGGCATCATTAGCTTTTAGCAGCCGAATCAATGAATCAATGAGGAGGTATGAACCAGCTCCCCTAAGGAAATGGACTGCTGTCGAACAGTATACACACACACCAAATCTTTACTATTGACTTCGGAGTAATTCTGTCAATCATAGACTCTGCCATTCTGGCCAGTGACAGGGAGGAAACAACTACATTCAGAAGAAATATGCTGTTGGATCAAACCATGTTTCACCAGTGTTTCCTCCTTCTGACCTGAATGCACTCTCTCCACTATGTTGAGGCATTTCCATTACCTGGAATTGACATGATATTCAATGAGAATAGTATGGCACAGAATGCTCTACCACTTAACATGAAATGTTGCAGTAAAGTAGCTTGTAGATGTATTTTCCTCCATGTACATGCTAATGTTGTTGTTTACATGAATGTAAACCAACCTCTATTAAGAATCCTCAGATGAAGCTGTTTTCCATGTAACCTGCTCTGTGAGGAGAGTGATCAATGTGGCCATATCTTGACCAGTGTTTAAGTGTCAATAATGTGTGTGATCAGGTCCCCGATGCTGCTCTGCCTGATGGGGTGAGGTGGGTGGGCTGCCAGGGCTCCAAGCCCCACTTCAGAAGGTACCCCTGTGGCATGTGGACCCTTTTCCATGTCCTCACGGTACAGGCCAATGAAGCTTCTGGCAAAGGTAGAAAAAACTCAATAAACAACAGCTGTCTACGTCTTTATGATAACACTATCACTAAACGTTGGTTAATTCAATAGGAATATTCCTGGGACAATGGTAATAAGTGAGAAAGTGTTGTAAGATTCTAAAACAAGCCCTCCTGCCATGTTAGCCTGTTTCTGTGGCCTGTAGAGCCCATCGTCTGGTAGGAAATTGGCCAAAAGTCAGCAGCCATCCAGTCTTGGGAGTGAGCGTGCCCAGGTGATGAACCATGACAGAAGTGTTTGCAGTCTGTTAGAACTCCTATGGCTCTCTGGGGACAAATCCTTGTAGTGCATTGAGCCAGTCAGAAGAGTGTGCAGCATTACCACAGGGGCTGCTGCTTTCAATACAGGGATATAGAGCAGGGGGATGGCAGCAGGGAGGGGGAGGACCGACTGGGGACAAGCGCTTTGTTGGGCTTTGTAAACAAATTAGCCTGGAATGTTTAGTGGAATGTTTTGCATTCACCTGATGTGACCGCACACACTTGCACAACATTTAGACACACGCACTCAAACACAAGTACGTTCACTGTTAAATTCCATTAGTAGCCTATACAAAGCAGTGTTATTTTTGGGGTTTTGTTATTAGTTTTGTTTTCTTGACACACCACCAGCTGAAACTAATTGTGGGTGGGTAAAAAGGGATTTCTTTAGATTAGTGGTTAATAAAAGAGGCAGCTGACCAGCACTCCTCTACTGGAGGGGTTAATCCCAGGGCTTATGGGATGGGGAGGGGGGTTCACAACCTGCAGATGGGCCACCAGGGGACCAGGGGTGTCCATCTGGCACCCCGCGGATGGACCTCTGGATTAGATCTCCACCACGGCTCATCTGCGAGAAAAATAAGGCTTTACTGTAGCAGGGCATTAAACACAATAAAACCTGCAGCAAAAATATCTGCACTGGTACGGTGCTGTTACTGACATTGACATCTGCAGACCTGATTGTTCTCACAGCACATTGACTAAATACTGTTATTCATGTTACGTACACATCACAGCACCGTAAGAATGCCCAGGAAACTCAGTTTGCATGCCCTTATTGCCCTGTTATTAACAACTAAAGGTTTAAAACTGGAAAAGCCCTCACTCCATTGTCAATTTTTTTTTTTACCTTTAAGCCTAAACCTTTAACAATTGGCAACAGAATTTAAGGGGCAGTTGCATCTTTTTAGTGTGCGAAGCCCATATGGCCATAGCCTATCCTAAATGTATATAAAAACACATTTTCGAATGTACAATATTAGACTACTTTTCAATAGTACACATCACGCTGAAGTGCATAACAAGTGTGTTTAATCTTGTTGAGGACTTCCTCCTCCTGTGCGTTCTTCTCCCAGACCCCCAGGAGGTGCTACAGGCGATGAGGTCCTACATCCACAGTTTCTTTGGCTGTCAGGCATGTGCCACCCACTTTGAGAACATGGCCAAGGAGAGCATGTCCCTTGTGGGGAAACTGTCCACCGCCATGCTGTGGCTATGGTCCCGCCATAACCACGTCAACAATAGACTGGCAGGTAAGGACACATGACAAATGTTACTGTTACTTCCATAGAGGATGATTGATCGGCTGTCTATAAGACTGAACCTCCAACACATAAATCATAATATGCTAATTACAGTGGGGGAAAAAAGTATTTAGTCAGCCACCAATTGTGCAAGTTCTCCCACTTAAAAAGATGAGAGAGGCCTGTAATTTTCATCATAGGTACACGTCAACTATGACAGACAAATTGAGGGAAGAAAATCCAGAAAATCACATTGTAGGATTTTTAATGAATTTATTTGCAAATTATGGTGGAAAATAAGTATTTGGTCACCTACAAACAAGCAAGATTTCTGGCTCTCACAGACCTGTAACTTCTTCTTTAAGAGGCTCCTCTGTCCTCCACTCGTTACCTGTATTAATGGCACCTGTTTGAACTTGTTATCAGTATAAAAGACACCTGTCCACAACCTCAAACAGTCACACTCCAAACTCTACTATGGCCAAGACCAAAGAGCTGTCAAAGGACACCAGAAACAAAATTGTAGACCTGCACCAGGCTGGGAAGACTGAATCTGCAATGGGTAAGCAGCTTGGTTTGAAGAAATCAACTGTGGGAGCAATTATTAGGAAATGGAAGACATACAAGACCACTGATAATCTCCCTCGATCTGGGGCTCCACGCAAGATCTCACCCCGTGGGGTCAAAATGATCACAAGAACGGTGAGCAAAAATCTCAGAACCACACGGGGGGACCTAGTGAATGACCTGCAGAGAGCTGGGACCAAAGTAACAAAGCCTACCATCAGTAACACACTACGCCGCCAGGGACTCAAATCCTGCAGTGCGAGACGTGTCCCCCTGCTTAAGCCAGTACATGTCCAGGCCCGTCTGAAGTTTGCTAGAGTGCATTTGGATGATCCAGAAGAGGATTGGGAGAATGTCATATGGTCAGATGAAACCAAAATATAACTTTTTGATAAAAACTCAACTCGTCGTGTTTGGAGGACAAAGAATGCTGAGTTGCATCCAAAGAACACCATACCTACTGTGAAGCATGGGGGTGGAAACATCATGCTTTGGGGCTGTTTTTCTGCAAAGGGACCAGGACGACTGATCCGTGTAAAGGAAAGAATGAATGGGGCCATGTATCGTGAGATTTTGAGTGAAAACCTCCTTCCATCAGCAAGGGCATTGAAGATGAAACGTGGCTGGGTCTTTCAGCATGACAATGATCCCAAACACACCGCCCGGGCAACGAAGGAGTGGCTTCGTAAGAAGCATTTCAAGGTCCTGGAGTGGCCTAGCCAGTCTCCAGATCTCAACCCCATAGAAAATCTTTGGAGGGAGTTGAAAGTCTGTGTTGCCCAGCGACAGCCCCAAAACATCACTGCTCTAGAGGAGATCTGCATGGAGGAATGGGCCAAAATACCAGCAACAGTATGTGAAAACCTTGTGAAGACTTACAGAAAACGTTTGACCTGTGTCATTGCCAACAAAGGGGATATAACAAAGTATTGAGAAACTTTTGTTATTGACCAAATACTTATTTTCCACCATAATTTGCAAATAAATTCATTAAAAATCCTACAATGTGATTTTCTGGATTGTATTTTCTCATTTTGTCTGTCATAGTTGACGTGTACCTATGATGAAAATTACAGGCCTCTCTCATATTTTTAAGTGGGAGAACTTGCACAATTGGTGGCTGACTAAATACTTTTTTTCCCCACTGTATATCAGTATAGAATATGAATATAATATTACTATAGAGAATATGAAATATTTAGAAGAAAATAGAAATGTCTCCTACAGTGGTCACCATTGTCCATACAGAAGATAAATGTGGCCCTCACAGGCCACTACTTCTCCCTCTCCCACTTTCCCCGCTAGAGGATATCTTTCAGCCTCTCACTCCTTTACACAGGTCTCATAAGGACCACTCCTTACTTTTTGGGTGGATTTCCTCCCCCAAGTGTCCCAACCCTGCTCCTCGCCCCTAAATCCCTATAATACGCCCGGGGATCCTCTGGGTAGACACCAGCTGTCCCTCCTCGCTTCTCTCCCATCTCTTCCTCCTCTCAGATATTAGCCCTCTTTCCAGGAGACTGCGATTCCCTGCCCCAGCCTGTCTATAGCTCACTACAGGTCAGCAGTAAATACTCAATCTGTGTGCTAAAGACTGCAAAACAGCAAAGACTGCAGCCTTGTTTATTCAATTTTGGCAATTATTTGTTTCTATCCTTTGGCAGTGTTTTAATGTCATAAATGTTTTATCCAGTCATATTTTGTGAAGATGGTCAAGCCCGTCTGTGGTACTTAACGTTTTGACGTCTGTGTCATTTTAATGAGGGCTATATGGCTGCTGCGTTGGCTTCCCTCTGTTAGGGCCATCATTTGAGTTTATTAGGCACAAACCTGTCATTATCAACTCACTTTGTTAAATCACATTGTTCTCTTTTCTCTATGGTGGTGGTGGCTCCCCCATCCTCAATCTCCTGGACAGCCTGTGTCCTGAATAACAGGGTGCGTCCCCTTCTGGGCCTGTCCCTGGTCCCCAGACACTCCTCCCTATTAGGACTGACGGTCTGTCCCTCCCCAGAGAGTCATATCCTCCGCTTGACAACTGATATGGCAACAATCTCCCAGAACAGGGACCACCAACCCAGGAGGAGCCCAGAGGCCCCGCCTCAATTCCCAAGATGCTTGTGACAGCAGGTGGCACACGCCATGTCACCGGCATCACGCCGCCCTCTGTTGTGTAATCCCTCACCAGGGTGGTTCATGGTTTGGGGGCCAGGACCTCAGGGGGTGGGGTGGGCTGGGCTGTGGGTGGGAGAGGAGGGGGCAGGAGTATTGGTAGCAATGCGTAGCAGTATATCCTCTGTCGGCCCACCCCCTCACAGACCCCTCACGCCTCTGCTTCTCATCCCAGTCTTCCCCAGGGGGAACATCCTCTCCTCCTGCCCTCCTCCCTCTCTTCCTCCTCCCTAAAGTGGGGCTCTTTAGCAGCTCCCTCCACTGTCCTTTCAGAGGCAGCCATGCATGAAGTAGGCCCAATTTGTAAAGCAGCAACACAATTAATTTAGCTGGCACAAAGGGTCCCCGAGCCAAGCCCGGCGCAACAGCAGACCTGTCCTCTTGCCAACAGGGTGAGATAGACTCATGTCTACAGACGGCAGAGCCACGGGCCTGCCAGGGCTCAGTGAGGAGGGGACGGGAGATGCTGTGGAGGATCTCATAGTAGTGCTGCTGGAGACTGGAGCAGCTCATACTGTACTATAGGGTGGCAGGTAGCCTAGCGGTTAAGAGCATTGGGCCGGTAACCGAAAGGTTGCTGGTTTGAATCCCGGAGCCGACTAGGTGAAAAATCAAGGGACTTGTAAGTAAGTCCTGTAAGTTGCTCTGGATAAGAGTGTGTGTTAAATGACTAAAATGTAAATGTATGCTTCAGAGCATCACTATGCTAATCTACCAGTCCGTCTATACTGTCACTACTCCTTTGTCCTGTAGTGTAGATCTCTTCATTCACAATTAGTGCCGAAGAATCTAGTTTAAACAATATTTATTTATACTCTATGAATATTTATGCGGTGCTATGAATGACATTTCCTGACAAGCCTTTGTTACAATATCAGTATCGGTACTACTGTTAGTCACCTCTGAAAATGAAAGGCAAGGTGATGAGAATAGAGACATCAGAGGCATGTTGTCATAAGGGGACGGGATATGAAAGCTGTCACGCTGGTAAAATTTATAAAAGGCCCCAATCCCAGCAGGACACGGTAAAATTGATGTATCTCTTATGTAAAGTGCTGTATGCAGAGTACATGCACACATGCATATGACTGAGATTAATCTGGCAGAGAGACTGGAGATGTAAAGTGACAGAACTGCTGTAAAGTGACAGAACTGCTGTAAAGTGACAGAACTGCTGTAAAGTGACAGAACTGCTGCAGCTTTGACTTTCCTCCTGCATGGTGACGCCAAGCAATTTATTAGCAGATGCCTCCATTTGGGGGGCTAAAGAAAACATGTAAAGCAAAACAATTGTAATTCGTTAAAAGGAGAGCTCCCCTCTGGAGGTGCTGCTTTCATATTCAATTTGGAGATTGGGCTGTCTTCAAAAGGGTGTGGAGGTAAGGGTTTGGGGGTCTGGGAGAGGTTGGGGAGGAGGGGGAGCTGTCTGCTTGGACCACATCTATTATCTCTCCTCCGGGACGTCCCAGAAGCCCATTGATCATTGTTAGACCCTGTCACACTGTCACATACTCACACACCTAGACACCACACACACACTGCACTTACTGCTTATTATGAGCCATGTGGGGGGAATGGATCTAATGTATTCAAGCAGCAACATAGATTCTGCATACAAAAATATTTATTGGTATCAGTTTGGTTTTATTGTGGGCAATGCAGTATGTCATCATTATGTCCTTCTATGTTTTACCTAATACATTTCCACCAAAACAGTTTGCCCTCTCAACATGACTGGGTTATCTGTATCATTTATATTATCTCAGATGACCATCCAAATTGTCATATTCCTTCTGACCAGGTGCTCTGAGTGAGGATCCCCACTTCCCTAAGATCCAGTGGCCGTCCCCAGAGCTGTGTCCCAGCTGCCATGGGGTTAAGAAGAGTGGAGAACACACCTGGAACCAGGAAGAGCTGCTCACCTTTCTCCGCTCCCACTTCTCCTCTGAACACCTCCTTTCTGACTACCTGGAGGAGGAGGCCCAGCTCATCAGCAGGCAGAAGGAGAGCTTGGTCGCCAGGCAGCAGGAGAAGGACCAGGAGGCTAAGAGAGGAGCAGAGAGGAGGGCCAGTGAGGCCTTGGCTGAACCACCTCCAGGCCAGGAGGAGGAGGAGGAGGAGGAGGAAGAAGAGGATGAGGAGGAAGGGGCTCAAGAAGAGCCAGCAGCAGAAGAGGAGGTAGAGCAGAGGGCAAGAGGAGAGGCGCAGGGGGGTAAAACCTCTGAACCCCCCCCCTGGGTAAAGCCTGAGGCAGACGTGTCCCGCCAGGCCCAGCGCAGGCCCAGCATCGTGGGGTTGAAGCTCAGGCCCCCCCAGGAGGAGATTGTGGACCTGGACTCCTTCGTCAACCAGCACTACAAGGCTAAGGCCCTCCGCGCTGCAGCCGCAGGGTCCTCCCGCGTCAAACGCAGGACCCTGCAGAGGAAGGAAGAGCCGCAGCCTGGAGCCAGTCTGGAAAATGGGCCAGGGCTGGGGCTGGGGCTGCAGCCCGTAGAGCCGGAGGACTTGTTGGGGCAGCGCAACACTCTGTGGAAGAGGATCCTGACGGGCCAGTATACTGGGTCAGAGGAGGAGGGGGCTCTGGAGATGTACGCTCATCCTAACAAGAGGCGCTGGATGTCCTTCCTGAGCGTGGGCTTCTCCAGACTGGATATCAGCCTGTGTGTGCTCCTCTACTTCCTGTCCTCCATGTGTCTGCTGGCCATGTATCTCTTCTTCAAGAACCGCCTGCGGCTGCGCCGGGCCAAGGTGGCTCTGCCCTGAGTCAACTCTGCCTTGCTGTGCTACTGTAGATTTACCCATGCATGTGACAGTGATGCTGTGGTCAGTTCTTAAACCCTCCAAGTGAAGGATCCGTAGTGTTCCGCATCAATGGATTGCTTTGTGGTGCTTGCTTCCCGGGATAATAATTTATGACGACGTATGCTTTTTTTGTGTGCCTTTTTTGACCACTTGTGAAGGATTATTTAAAACTCTAGGAAATTAATGGGATTTTGATTATATTTGAGTGAATACAACAAAAGGGTTGTTTTTGATATTTATTGTAATTTTTAGGCAGTGTATATTGCCATATTATAAATTCATTTATGTGAAAAGGAATCACTATATAGTTTCATGGATAAAGTTAGTCAGTAATTCAATATAAAAGACACAGCTCATACTGTTACTGCCAGCCCTTCCAAAGAGTCCAGTAAGCTGTGTACTCTAACAACTAGAGAACCATTTTATATTCTTAGAATGAAATCAACCTTCTATTTGAAAATGTGATTTTACAATGAGAAATGTGCCTTGAATGATATTTGAATAAACAGTGCCTGACCGATGATTTATCCATATTAATTTTAGCATTAAGCAAGCGGATGTTTCCAAATAAACAAAGATGCATATGCTCCTGTAAGTCGCTCTGGATAAGAGCGTCTGCTAAATGACTAAAATGTAAATGTAAATAACAGATATATAAGCCCTGTTCAGATAGTATGTGGTCAGAATTGTAGTGCTCAGAGTTCACACTATAGATTTAGAATTAGCTCTAATTCTATGGTTCACACATTCTGTTCCACAGTGGTCTATGTTGTGACTGACCATGCTATGCTATTGTCTGAATGGCTAGGACATCTTACATATACAAATTAGCTTTGCACAATAGAGTTTAGACAGTTAATGAAATGTTTTGGAGTAGCACTAGTTAATGGTACAAAATAAGCAGGATTTGGGTTTTGGCTGGTGCCCATTACAATAAACTTACTGGTCTCAATCAACTCGAAATACTGTGTTTTGCTTTGCTTATCTCAATCAATAAAATGATTTTTGCTAAAATTGTGCATTGTTGTCACGATTGGTCACTTGTTGACTTTGGTAGTTCTCCTGGAGCAAGTGGTACTGTTAGTGTATATTCTAACTGCTTTTCTGCTGTTCTACAACTATAGATGAATGGAAACCAAGTGTACATTTACCATCAATATACAAAGTACCTGAGATGTCAGATTATGCTTTCTCTGTCTCTCTACATTTTACCACTTGATGTTTTGCATGAGTTCAAATGAATAACATGAATAACATTCAGATGTTTTGTTTTTCATAAGGTGGCTGGGTAAGGAGTGGTGGTTGTGGGGGTGGCTGTAGGTTAAAGGAAAAAGCCTGTTGCCATCTGGTCTGTTGCTCTAGCTAAATCCTAACAATTTCATTGGGATTATAGCAAGTGAGTAATCCAGCTTTCCTTTGGACTGTGGGAGATTACCGTGAGGATTAGCTCCCACCCGATAATAAACTTTATTAAAACGCAATCGGCTTTCAGGTTCTCTTCCTTCACACTTGGAAGTGAGCTCTGTTGGGGGTGTTTTTTCAACCGTGGGGGTGGATGTGAAGGCCGGATGGGTACCTTGGGGGATAGGATGGTTTTGATGTGGTCCAGGTTACAAGCTCATCTGAAGGACACTAACGCTTGATCTTGAGCTTTGTGTTTTCCTGGAACATTGCACTCAATCCATCCCATGTTGCTGCCCCCTCTACACCAAGCCCTCCCTGTCTCTTGGCTTTCAGATTGGCTGAGCAGAACAGGGCAGAACCATGGTGGCAGCAGTAACAGTAGCCTGCAGTGTGGCGGTGGAGCTCTCAATTCTCCACAAAAACACAACATGATTAATGGCCCTACATTAAAGGAGTGGAGCACCAAACCTGAGCAGCTGTGATCTCGGACTAAATCAAACCCTTTCAGAATTCTGAATTAAGCCAAATGACAGTTTATGATCTGTAGAATGGACTGAGAAAAGCATAGTTTGTCATGCTGAAATTACTGCAAGGTTTAGACATTTTACTGATTGCCTCCGATGTATCATCTATATAACTCATTCCAGAGAGGTTTATCGCTGATCGAGTTCTCTTTCTTTGGCTCGTCAAACTGGAATAAGAATGATGACATACACAAACTTGTAAACAGTACTTATTTACTTGCTTTATCACTTGCTTTGTTACAACTTACCTACTTATCCTTCTCAATTTACTTGTTTATTTGTTTACATGCATTGCTATTGGATTGTGAACGGTAAAGGTGCTTTTTGACCCCTTCCCTGCTGCTCATGGCTACCCTCCGGTGCTCTGAGCCCTGAAGCCCAGGGTATTATGTGGGTTGAGACTAATGCAAGTTAATGAGGAAGTTGGCTGCAGTGCAATATACGTCTTTGGCTTTGCCAATATGGGAGGTGAAAAGTGCGGACAAGGGTTTCTAATCCAATCGTAGACTCTCAGCCATCCACTTGATATCCCTGCTCATGAATTGAGATCACACAGGGACACTCTTATACCAACATCTTTTAGAAACTGAGAAAGCCTCTCCTTGCACTGATCCTAAAATGTGGAGAGACTCAGGCAGGGAGGTCTGTGTCTGTAGTTGCCTGGCTACCCAAACTCCTTACTCCGGCCAAACGCTACGCCACGCCCACGGACGTTAGTTTCTTCTCCGCAATGTAGCCTCTGCCCAGTCCCCAACTACCGCATGTTCCAGTTTTCAGGGGAAATGGAAAGAGAACGACTTCCGCTTAACTCCATCTTAACTCCTCCTCCACATTTACTGGATTGGTTGAACAGTGCAGAAGAGAACCTCCTCCGACATGTTTTATTCTTCTCGTCAAGACCAGTATATAGGGGATCTAGTTTAAGGCGTTTCTTTTGCGCCTGCTACGTTAGGTTACCGCAATGAGTCTAGATCTGAGTGCCTCCTCGACAATTTCTAGAACTCAAACACATTCTAGCCATTTTGATTGGTCCCAGAGACAGATATTTTGGGCCAGAGCCAGAACACACGTGGGTAAAGCGGCGTTTTAAAAAATGGCATTGGCTTTGATACTCTGATTGGTTAGAGATTATCCAATCGCTGATGACTTTGCTTTGTACAACACCCCTCATTATGATGTCACCACAAACGACTTCAATGATGGCAGTTTCAGACTGAAGTATGTAGCGAACGATAGAGCAGCGGAAGAATTCAGTTTGTGTCGTCTGGCAATGTCTACAGCACTATACCAGAATGTAAAATGTTATGTTATGGAAGCTCAAAACTCAAGGGCAAAAACGTCACCTTGCTGCTCTGTATGATGTTGTCTTCCATAAATTAGACAATGCACAGTTTTATTGTCGGCCTCCTGTATTCACAGCCTGCATGTTTACTACCAATGTGTTGATATTAAAATGAAGGACAGGTTTGATACATTTTCTGTCATCTCTATCTGACCTTAATAATACCATAAAGCTCCAGCATGTGGAAACAGAGTGAATAATTTAAAATGGAGTGAAAAAATTGGTTAATATGTGATACCCTTATCACATCTCATTCACCCCGTTTTTACATTTGCCCCTAAAATAGGAGTCAAGCTGGGTCAGATTCATCTAATTTTACTGCTGTGGCTCCACCCCCTCCTCTTGGACCCATCTCATCTCTCACTCATCTCATCTTCACAATCCCATCCCCACCATGGCCAACGGATCATCCCAGGAACAGGCATAGCAGAGGATACATACCTCCACGAGAGTAAAGGAGATATCACAGATATCGCTATAGCAGTCAAAACAGTGTACCCATGCATACTTGGGAGGATGGACTACACATACACAGCAGAATCCATTTTACAATAATTCCATTTGACAATAATTACATTGTCAGCGTGCTGCAGACTAATATTCACGTGTACTTCACTTGGGATAATTATTCAGTGTAATTATTCAGTAATGCATGATAAAGAGTTGTTTGAAGATGTGTAGATAGATGCTTTATACCTGAATGTATATATCTCAGTCCACAGCCCTCTGACTGGAGTTCTACTGTTTGCACTCAGACCTTCAACTCTCCTGTGACTGTTATTTATGGGGCTGCTTGTTGGTGTGTGGGTTTTTCTCAACCCAGGGGAGCAGGTTGATTGACAGAATAGAAGCAGGGAAGAAGGGCTTTTTTTTAATGTACAGCTCTACTTGTGTTTTGCCAGAGCAGCCAATGTTAGGAGCAGTTGCTTTATATTTCGCAGTCCATCTCCAGTGTACCCTAGTGGGCTGCTATTTGATAAAGGAGTGGGCTGGGTTGGGGGGAGTGGAGGAACAATTGATCAATACATTTCAGAATCTAATCAGGCCCTGATACTATTCTCTACTTTTTGGAGTTTAAATAGGGACCATGCCAACTTGAAGGGGCAGAAAGTTTGGTAACCCTCAGTGTCTGCCTAACATTGGGTACATGGATGATAAACTTGGACAAATTCCCAGATGTGTCAATCACATTGGTTTAATAATGCACTCAAACACCCACATGCCTTGTCACTCAACAGGGTATATTTTCTCTTTCCCAAGTATTACAAGATGTATATTTTCTGTTTCCCAAGTATTACAAGATGTACTATAGATCATCAGTGTCAAGGCTACGTGTTCTCATTTATCAACAAGGATATTCTGATAGGCCTATAGCATTTATACAAAATATAAGCCTTTTTAATCTTCTCAAATTAAACGTAGGTCTGTTATATGGGGAGGTAGATAGTCATTATTGCAAAACAAACTTTTGTGAGGTTTGTTTTTTAAGTCTTCAGTTTGGTCATTTTAAAGACCTATAAGTGCAATGCTGTCGACAGTATTTGTAACTAGGCTACATATTCTGAAAGATTGCAAAAAATAATAATATAATGGCACCATTCAGATTAGTATTTTTTTTTTGTATGCGTCTTGTTACACACAGAACCACACATATGCATAATAACCATAGGGAGCGTCACTACTGCCCCTCG